ATCCGCCTGGCTCTGCCTCCCAAGTGCTGGGATTAAAGGCGTGCTTTTCTAAATCTTAAACTGAACACATGGAACTGACAGACACGTGCTTAGGTGGTAGTCTTTTACTGTGAAAGCATAAGTAAGAGTCTTTTCCTGTGGTAGTCTTTTTACTTTAAAATGGAAGGAATCACTGGTTTTTGTTTTTTGTTTTTCTGGAACTGAAGAAATCCTTATTGGAGAAGCCTTCAGAACTCATGTCACATTCATCTTCTTTCCTGTCCCTCACTGGATTCTCTGTCAATCAGGTAAGTGAGGTTAAGAATCTTGCTTTAGCCGGGCGGTGGTGGCGCACGCCTTTAATCCCAGCACTTGGGAGGCAGAGGTAGGCGGATCTTTGTGAGTTCGAGGCCAGCCTGGTCTAGATGAGCGAGATCCAGGAAAGGCGCAAAGCTACACAGAGAAACCCTGTCTCAAAAAACCTTTAAAAAAAAAAAAAGAATCTTGCTTTATGTTTTTATTATGATTGCTTATTTTCTTCTTTTCAGTATAGTATTCTTTTCTGAGTCTTGATTTTACCTCCTTTGTCTCTGATTAGGGCAGACTAGTGACCTATATTTTATGAGTTTGAGCTTTTTAACCTCTCATACTGCATTTCTTAGAGTTTGGTTCTTCGGTCAAATAAATGACCCTCTTTTTTATTTTTGACCTCAGAAGGTTTACGTAGACAGCAGACTACAGAGTGAAAGAAAGGCAAAGGGCAAACAAGAATGAAAGACGTTAGTCTGGGGGACTTTGTTTACCAAGCAAGCTTTAGTCTGCTGAGCATCTGTGGATGCAGCACAGACTCTCTTTTTAATCTTTCTTTCTGGATTATTAACTTACATCTTTCAGGAACGATATCCAAACAGCAGTATGTTCAATGAAGTGTATGGAAAAAACCTGACAACCAGCTCCAAGGCAGAACTGAACCCCTCAGTTGCCTCGCAGGAAACATCACTGTACTCCCTTTTTGAAGGGACCCCTTGGTCTCCATCACTTCCTGCCAGTTCAGGTATCAACTAGTGCTTCAATTATAAAATTTGCCTTTTCTTCTCATCCATATTGACTAAGAATTAGTCAGTTTCTATAATTAGACGATTTTGTTATTACCATATTTGTTCTTTCTCTGTTAACAATGTTTTGGAGATTTATTTTTATTTTATGTGGGAGCATTTGTCTGAATTTTATGTGCCACATGTGTGCAAGGCCAGAAGAGGGTGTGGGGTTTTGGTGGTGGGTGCTGGAAATCAAACCCGAGTTCCCAGTGCTTTTAACTGCCAAGATGTCCCCTTTTGTTTCAGTTTCTTAAAGTCTAATTTATATAATTCTTAAGATCAAAATATTCTGATTCTGATGTCCAAAAGTTGAAATAGGTCAGAACTGCATGTCTGATGAATTTGTCTACAGTTTGTTTTTTTTGTTTTGTTTTATGTTTTTTTTTGTTTTTGTTTTTGTTTTTGTTTTTTGTTTTTTTGTTTTTTTTTAGGGTGGAGAATGTGCCTTGGATATGTGCAATCTGACACGTTAGTGATCTGACAGATTGCCCCATGGCCTTATCTGGTCTTTTCTCTAAAGCCTTGTTATAATGCTTTCATTCACATTTTGATGACCACATCTGAAGGAAACATTAGTTCTTCATTTAGTTTGTGAAATACCTAGTTGTGTCCTTATGTTGTTAATTCTTTAACAGATCATTCAACACCAGCCAGCCAGTCTCCTCATTCCTCTAACCCAAGCAGCCTGCCCAGTTCTCCTCCAACACATAACCATAATTCTGCTCCGTTCTCTAACTTTGGACCCATTGGGACTCCAGATAACAGGGATAGGCGGCCCGCAGATCGGTGGAAAACTGATAAACCAGGTAGATCCACATTACTTTATCTACCAGGCAAAGGGGAAATGACTTGCTCTAACTTTGCATGGAGTTTGATATTTGCCATTGATAAAACAGTTTGAATTCTTACCCATTTTCATCTCTTAGCCATGGGTGGTTTTGGCGTTGATTATCTCTCAGCAACATCATCATCTGAGAGCAGTTGGCATCAGGCTAGCACTCCAAGTGGCACCTGGACAGGCCATGGCCCCTCCATGGAGGATTCCTCTGCTGTCCTCATGGAAAGCCTAAAGGTGAGTAGATTTGAGGAGCAGGAAGCACAAGGCTCGTACTGCAAAAGTGTCTGCTTTCACCCATGAGATTGAGAAGACCCTAGGGGTTAACTCTGTGTTTTATCAGGGTGTCGGAAATGGTAAAGGGTTTTGTTTCATCCTTATGTTAAAATTCTGCTTTATATTGGTGTGTCTGATTTCAGCCTTATTTGACCAATTAAGAGTATATAATTTTAAATGTCTTGTTTGCCTAAAACTTTTACAATAAGCTTACTCTGTCATGCCATATGAATTTTAGTTAAAAAAACAAAAAGCAAACTTAAAACATAATTTCAGCTGGGCATACTGGTACATGCTATAATCACAGAATGGTTTGAGTAAGAGGGATAATCTTTCCAGGCCAGTCTAGGGTTAAAAAACTGTAATTTCACTGTTTGAAGTTTTAAAATAGTCTTAGGAACAAGTCTCATGGTGACTTTTTCTTAGAGCTGAGTTGCTTGGGATTTAGAGGTCATGTTTGCCTTTACAGCTGGCTAGGATTTCAAACAAATCCCTGTCAGACAACCATAACATTTGACCTCTGCTGACAACTTTCTGGGCTATTTTTCAGTCCATCTGGTCCAGTTCCATGATGCATCCTGGACCCTCCGCTCTGGAGCAGTTGTTAATGCAGCAGAAGCAGAAACAGCAGCGAGGACAAGGTGCCATGAACCCTCCACACTGAGGCCACAGTAGCGACCCAGGGAATGAAGGCTCCATAAACCATGGCATGTTGGGTTTGCAGGACTGGCCCACACAGTCCCTGCAGGTGGCAGCCCTCTTGTCTGTTTCTTGCTGTCGAGAGGGTGTAAGTGTTCCACCAGCCCGCTGAGTGTGCACGAAATGTTCGCAGTGCAACAAAAAGAAAAAAACCATCAGGAACTCTCGTTCCCCCGGGACTTCCCGGAGGGAGAGAGGAGCTGCTGTTTGTCTCACTCAGTTACTGATAGCACGCCTCTCACCTTCTCCACCGCGCATGTCCCCAACACGTGGGAAGTGGAAGCTGAGAAGGGAAGGCAGATGGGAGAAGCCAATAGGAACTTCTCAGTCCTTTTTTCCTCTTTGGGGAATAAAATAGGAATCCATTATGAGTGCTTTGCTGACTGAGAATGTAGTTGAAATTATTCTTAAACATCTTTTATTATTACTCTCAGTAGCAAACTATCACACTGAATTCTTCCATACACAGGTGTACTTGTAGTCAGTGTGGAGCAAAGACAGTCCCGTGTGCTGCTCCTGTGAGAGGTCGGTGGTGACGGCACAGGGAACTGACCTCTTAAGCTGTGGGAGTGTTCCATAAGGGAGAATACAGGCCTCCTAGAAGGTTCTGCTAGGCCTTCCTCCAGCCTGGGAACTCCAGCAGGAGATGCCCTTCACTCTGTAGGTGCTCGAGCCCCCATCGAGGATGCAGTGTGGCTGGTGCTGCTGGGCTAGACCAGCAGGTGGCTGCTGGAAGATTTCAATTAATGTTTCTGATTCCTACACTTTTGCAGTAGCATAGCAAGCAGTCTCACAGAAGGCAGGCTAGTCCATTCATAGCCTGGAACACATTTTAGTAAGTGGATGCTTTCAGTGTGGTTATGTTTGGTTAAGTTGGTTTTGTGTCCCCATCCTGCTCACCAGCCTCTTGCACCAGTCTCCACCCCTTTAGCCATACGCTGTATCCTAGTCATTGTTTTATCCCCACCGTGTACAACATCTCGCCAGGAAGCAGCAGCATGGGGCCAGCAATAGGGCCCCAGAGGTGGTCTGAAGAGGAAGGAAGCAGTCAGTAGTGCCTGCATCGCTACAGAGGAGCCGACCTCTGCCCAGTCGCAGGCTCCCAGCCTTCACCTCAAGAGCAGAATTGAAGGCAACAGGGACAAATGCACGCTGTGCAGAGAAGAAAACACAACGAACGCCACTTTGGAAAGGGCGAAAGAAAGGAATAAACTCTTTATTTGATATTTATTGGGAGGAAAGAGGACTGAAGATGTTCTGTGTAGGAACAGAAGGACAGCATTTCTGTTAGTCATTTCCTGGAAAAGTAATATTTTAAGGGGAAATTATGGAAACAATCTAAATGTCCAATTGCTGTGCTAGGGTAGGGATTATTTTCTGGGAGATAGGTGTGTGTGCACATTGTGTGTGTGTGTGTGTGTGTGTGTGTGTGTGTGTGTGTGTGTGTGTGTGTGTGTGTGTGTGAGCGTGCGTGCATGTGTGGATGTGCGTCCATGTCCACACCTGGCCATCTACTCTCCCAGAGGGCAAGGGCTGAGTGTGGGAGCTAGGTGGACCTTACTTGTAGAGCAAAGCACATCCAGGAGCCCGGGTGTCACAGGATCTGGGTGGCCCCGGCAATGAGAAGGGGTGAGGTATTGCTCATTGCTCTTCAGAAAGAGTGCTTGGAGCCCGAGGCTTACACTATTGCTCTTTTAGTTTGACATGGTATTTGGGTTTTCTTGGTTTTGTTTTGTTTTTGAAAGGTCTGGAAATGAAACCCCCACTCAATGGCAAATGAAACCCTCTGTGCTGCTCCAGTCCCCTCCATGTGTCCACCTTTGTCCTCTTCCCTGTTCTTCCCTGCTCACCCGGTTTGTGTGTGTAAGCTCTGCATTCAGACAGCTGCAACATTCCGTTGTTGGAAATGTCACTGATTCTTGCACCTTAGACCAGCCAACAGGTTTACCAGCTCCCTCCCAGTGGTACCCACTTCCCATCTACAGCCCCAGTCTGCATGAGAATTTGGTGTTTGGAATGTTTTATGACTCTTGGCTGGGTTCCTCGCCTTGCCATCCTCACTGTGGGGTAATGAGGAAGAGGAGGAGAATCTTCATCTGGTTTCGTGTAATAAACCTTCCTTTGTGTTTTGTTTTGATTTGATTTGATTTGTTTTTTTTTTTTTCTCCTGTCTGTCTGTGCAAGATCTGCAGCTGCTGAAATCAGCTTTGCCTTTAATTAAACCGTGTTCTCTCCAACCAGATCTGTGTGTGGACTGTTTATTCTGCCTTAAAGGATACAGAAGTAAAAACACAGCTTAGAACTTTAACTACTCACCCACCTGCAGGAACAGAGATGGTCACAACTGGGTAGGCTTTGGGGTTAATTTTGCTTTTCTTAGCATTCCAGTGAATTGTTCTAGAAAATGATAGACTGCCACGATTCTTTAGTAGAGTGGCTTCTGTAAAGGCAGGAACCATTTATTTTGTAGCTTATCAGGAGGTAATTCAGTTTATCATCTGGCCTTTACACCTCACTGACTGATTAACACCGACAGCGATAACTGTTTGAGGCTCGGGGTGGTCTCTCTTTCAATTTGTCCGAAGTTTCCAAAGGCAACTTCAGCAGTGTGCTAGGGCTCAGAGCTCACACTGACTAGCCCTCACCTGGATTGTGATTCTATGTAAAACTCACTGCCAATCCCAGCACTCGATCTCTGAGTTTGAAGCCAGCCTAGTCTACAGAGCGAGTTCCAGGACAGCCAAGGCTACAAAGAAACCCTGTCTTGCAAAACACCCCCCCCCAAAAAAAAACAAAAACCTTCATTTCCTACCTGCTTTTCACTTGCACCTACAAACTTGAAAAACAGTTCGCAAAACCATATGGCAGGGCAGTAAGGTCCCAAGGTCTAGTGCTCAGCAGTCCCTGTCCCCAGGTAACCTGAAGGACCACCAAAATGGCATGAGTTTTATCATGTGGGTTAGTCTTGAATAATACATGTAAAGCAGCAGAATGTCTCTCTTAATGGGCTGCAGGCTGCCTCCTGAACACAGCTTTTCATCACTCAAGTACTGGTGGCATATGTTCACTCTTAAACTCTCAATAATGTCCATCTGACAAGGCATGAGGAGCCATCATTCTAAGAGTTTAATTCTTGAGACTGAATGTTCATGGGTACCTGATTCTGCCTAACTTCTCTTTAATGAAACCTAAGCTTGTTTTTTAATGAGTTAACTATGTGTGTGCTTTCTGAATTACAAGTAAATTTGCTTTAAGCTTCTGGAAACCAAATTCTTAAGGTACAGGGAGAATATTCCCACTCAGCTTTTGGGCCTGGACACTGGGTGTCCTGCTCTATTTTCATAACAAAGGTGTACCCATTGTCATCCTGCTTCAGGAATTCTCATAAAGTCCACAGCTAGGGAGCCAGCACCCAAGAAGACCCCTTCATTCCCCTTCCAGAAATTCATCTCATCCTTCTCATCTACAAGGAAATCATCCAAATTCTCATATTACTGTGTGATGGGTTCAGTTTGGATAGGGAAATGTTGTTAGAGAACATTTCCAAATGTGTCTGTATAGCGCACAGCAGAGATGGGCAAGTCTTGGAAAAAGCAGCACTTCTTTGCTTGAGCGTCACAGGTTGTGGAGCATCCTAGACTTCTCCGGGAGTGCCTTCCAGCTCCTTGGCTGCTCGTTCTTCAACAAAAGCTTTAGGAAAAATGCCAACTTTGCCTTTACACTCCCCTTCCAGCCATTCTTCATTCACTGATAAAAAGCAAAGTGTACATTGATTACTAAAACCATCTAGGAAAAACTGCACCATCATGAGTGGTCAGCACTTACACCTAGTCATCTTCCCCTGTTCCCATTTGTGGCAACAGAAAAATACTGGAAAGTAATTTGAGGTTAAAGTGAGCATACCGCCTTCTCTTGTATGCTATGAGAGTCTTCCGAGATTCTGTTGTAGCTATGATAAACAGTAAAATGTAGGATGAATTACTATAAATATACAGACTGAACATGAATCCCCAGTTGATTGGTTTTTGTTGTTTTTTTTTGTTTTGTTTTGTTTTTTTTTGGTTTTTCGAGACAGGGTTTCTCTGTGTAGCTTTGCGCCTTTCCTGGGACTCACTTGGTAGCCCAGGCTGGCCTCGAACTCACAGAGATCCGCCTGGCTCTGCCTCCCGAGTGCTGGGATTAAAGGCGTGCGCCACCACCGCCCGGCATTGTTTTTGTTTTTTTAAGAAACCATCTTACCTAAGCTTTGCTGGAATTCATTTTGATCACATGAAAGGGCATGCTATTAAATGCCATAGTGAGTGATTAACACCTTAAAAGTTGGAGCTAGTTGGGTTTAGTACATTTGTGAAAATAAACATGATAGCCCTTTAATAAGATACAAGCACTGTGACTAAATACACACTCAGCCTTCATAGTAACTCATTTACAACTGTCTCCATTTTTATTAAGAACAGGGACATCCAGAGAGTAATCATATCCATCGAATCACACCACATTGGTTAATTATATCCATCTAAACAGACCACAGAGCCAATCAGAAAGTCATATTTGAGTATCTTATTAGAACCTTCTTGCCTACGTCATTTCCTCAGATGTTCTATAGTTGGGCCAGGCATAGTGGCATACACCTGTAATCCCTGCATTTTTGGGAGACAGGCAGGTGATCTTGGTGAGTTCGAGGCCAGCCTAAACTACATAGTTCCAGGTCAGCCAGAACTACGTAATGAGACCCTGTCTTGAAAAAAATCTGTAGTGTAGAGTGTGAGTAAGCATTACTTTTTCCTCAGGTTCCTTCTGGAGAGTACAAACCACTACCTTCATTCTTCCTATTTATGGTATGGGTATGGGTATGGACATCTGTGTGCCTGGGTCTTAGGAACATACCGGACATGCAAAATCTCTAATCCTAAGCCTTAACCAGTGTCCATTGGAAGAGGATCCCAGTAAGTCCTACACATGAAAGTTTGGGGGAAACTTTCTAAATGAAGCCATCTGTAACTGTTGAGAGCAGTTGAACTCATTCACTGCCCTCTCCATGTATGCTGAATTCTGTCTCCCATTGTTAGCTTGAGGATAGAGTTCTGACACAGAGGGGCACTTGCCAACTTAAACCACTGAGACTTCCATAGGTGGCATAGGATGCAGTATCTTAAGGGTTTTCTTGTGCATTCTCACTTATTTCACCCGACACCACCACCATATACTCAAAAAGCTAGATATTACACACACTGGTACTGTGTTCTTAAGCCCAGTCCTTAATGATTTTTCAATCTCCTTTCAAAGAAAACACTTTTCTCCTTTGAGTTGCTACACACTTATATATATGACCCCCATGGGCTCATGTGTTTGAATGCTCGGCCCATACAGAGTGGCACTATTAGGAGGTGTGGCCTTGTTGGAGGAAGTGTGTCACTCTGGGGCCGGGCTTTGAGCTCTCATGCTCAAGCTACAGGCAATGTGGCCCAGTCTCCTGCTGCCTAAGGTTTAAGGTGTAGAGCTCTCAGCTACTCTGCCAATGCCATACCTGCCTGCATGCTGCCATGCTTCCCGCCACAATGATAATGAACTAAACCTCTGAACTGTAAGCCAGCCCTAATTGTTTTCCTCTAGAAGAGTTGCCATGGTCATGGTGTCTCGCCACAGCAATAGAAACCCAAACCAAGACACCTGCCCAGGTAACTTCAAATCTCTCAGTTGGTCTATTGGATTTACTATTATAATGAGCTATACACTACTTTGCCTTCCTGATGCTCAACAGCTCACCTGAATTACAGTAGTGCTTCCTGAAATATTAGACCAGTATCACCTGGGAACTGCTGAGAAGTGCAAATTTGTGGGCCTCACCCCACATCTGACCCAGACTCTGGAAGGCTGGCCAAGAAACTTAACCCTTCAAAGGATGCTTAGGTATAATGAATTTTGAGAATCACTGAGATTTCGTGTGTGTGTGTGTGTGTGTGTATTGCACAAGCCTCTGCACATACGAGGGCCAGAAGAAGTTGGGTGTCCTCTATCCCTTAGCCTTTAGTCCCTCTTAAAGATGGACTCTCACTGGGTCTGGAGCTGAGGTGACAGCAAGCTCTCCCAAGCTGCCGGTCTCTGCTCCCACAGTGCTGGAATTCCAGGCACAAATGTGGCCATGGCCAGTTTTTCACATGGATGCTAGGGTCCCTGTGCTCATGCACGGCCACTGCCACCCACTGAGCCACCTCTCCGGTCCCTGTCACTCTTCAATCCATAGGTTCCTAACAGATAAGTCACTTACAGCTGGCTGCCTCTACTGCAGAATGGGCCCTCCCCTTCTTTCTGGAAGTACAGTTAAAGGCTCCGTGGTCTGTAGCAAAGGCAGAATAATTCCAGCCAGGTGCATATTGGAACAGTCAAGATGCTGTCATAGTCTTGTGCCTAATAGAGTAATGGGCAGGAGAGAGCCACACACTTGCATTGGCTGCCTTTTACCAAAAGCTAGGAAGTCCGTGGAAACTTATTGACTAAGAATTGATGTTTTCCTCTGTCTGTCCTTGACCTTGTTTTTGCTGATACATGAATCTGGGTCTGTGGACTTGGAGTAGCACTTACCATGTGATAACACCAGGATTACATCTCCTTTCACAAACTCCAGGTCTTCCGGCTGAGTACCCTCATAACTGAAGATTGCTACCACTTGGCTTCCTTCCTTAGGCTGAGGCTCTGCTGTCCGGGTATGGGCATCCGAGTTTTCACTTCCCTTGAGTTCATCTACCAAACCTTGATCACCCTGAAATAGTAAGGGGCCTATTATTAAGTTTGCTCATTTTGGGGCCAGTGGATACTGAAAACCACTAATGGAAGCAGTTGATGATCAGTACTTACCATAGGTCTAAAACATTTTAGGAATACTAAATGGTTGCGCAAATGAAACTGAAAGGTATGCAGAACCCTATGTAGGCCAAAGTTGCCTTACTTAAATCTTATAATAGTCCCAGAGTAGTGTAGATAGTGTTCTTTCTTTCAGATTGGGAGATAACTTGAGCCACAAGTAAATGGCAGTCTGTGGTATAAATTCGGCTAGTTTATGGTGTGTGTGTGTGTGTGTCTGTGTGTGTGTCTGTGAGCCATGATGTGTATGTGGAGATCAAAGGACAACTTGGACAAGTCATTCTCTCTACCACGTGGGTCCTAGGAGCTGAGCCGTTACCTCCTGAGCCATTCTGCGGTCCCTACATTTCTTGGCACTGAATTTGTCCTCTTCCCCTAGCATAGACACTGAGGATCTTGTTAGAAATTCGGCTTTTGCACTCCACCTCAAACCTACTAAACCAGCCTTCCTAAGACCTAGCTCTAGGTAATTCTCATACTCTCTAAAGCTTCAGAACCATGACTTTTAAAACATTTCTGAGGCAGGGTCTCACTGGGTAGCACAGGGCTGCCTGGACGTCATCTTTCTTCAGCCTCCTGAGTGCTGAGCTTAGTTAGATGTGTGGTACCATGCCTGGCTGCATGTCCTCCGTAAGACGGTACAGTGAGGTGGGAATAGCCCCACGGAGTCTGCAGATCTAGTTTGTTTTTTGTTTTTGTTTTGTTTTGTTTTGTTTGAGACAGGGTCTCTCTGTGTATCTTTGGCTGTCCTGGATCTCCCTCTGTAGCCCAGGCTGACCTTGAACTCACAGAGATCCACCTGCCTTTGCCTCCCGAGTACTGGGATTAAAGGCGTACGCCACCACTGCCCGGCCTGTTTTTTGTTTTTTTTGGTTTTTTTTTTTTTGGTTTTTCGAGACAGGGTTTCTCTGTGTAGCTTTGCGCCTTTCCTGAAACTCACTTGGCAGCCCAGGCTGGCCTTGAACTCACAGAGATCCGCCTGGCTCTGCCTCCCGAGTGCTGGGATTAAAGACGTGCGCCACCACCACCCAGCCTGTTTTTTGTTTTTTATGTGTTTTGCTGGCATGTTTGTCTGTGTGCCACATGCATGCCTGGTGCCCATGGAGACCAGAAGAGGGCAATAGATTTCCTGGAACTGGAATAACAGATGGTAGTGAGCTGCCATGTGGGTACTGGGAATCGAGCCAAGGTCCTCTGGAAGGGCAGTGCTATTCACCACGGAGCCATCTCTATAGCCCAATCCTAGGTTTTTATACCAGCTTCCATTTACTAGCTGTGGGTCCCTGAGTAGCAGTGTGGCCTCTCTGGACCTGTTTCCACACCTGATGTGGAAGCTAGAGAATGAAATGAGGAGGTGTGGCATCATAACAGTCGGCCCTTACTGAATACTTGCCCTGTAGGAGTACTGTTCTGAGGATGTACAAGTACTTGAATTTGGCTGGTGATACATGTTGCACTGAGGATACACAGTAAATGGCAATTTGCTTTGCTTTTCCTAGTTAGTGGAAAAGCCTCCACAGACAACAGTGGCAGAGAACGCTAGCAGTGATGGGCCTGGATGGAGTTCTAAAGAGACTTATGGTGGGAGTCTGGGGGAGATCTGTGCATATAGCTGCAAATAGATTGGCCTCATTGGAGGAAAAAGTAATAATTTCTAAGAACATTATAAGTGAAATTATTCATGTTTAAAATAGAATCCTTTCTAGGCAAATATTCCCCAACAAAAAATTGAAATTACCAGTGCAGCATATACCATTTAGCAATAAAGAAAGGTCAACCTCTGTGTAAAAATCCACTCATTGGCTGACAGACAGACTCTGAGTGTCTCGGGGACAGAATAAGAAGTGGCAATAAGAACTTCCCTCCAGAAACTAACGGGGAAAAGTTCAACTGCTCCGCCATCACTGTCACTTCTAGCCTCCAACTTTGCTCCTGACTCCTGGGGATCTCACTTTCAAGTCAGGTGACTCCTGTCTAGACCTCACGGCTAGTAGGGCAGCTTGGCCTTGTCACTACAGCATGGCGGATGAACACAGATGTGAAGCCGGGTACTCCACCCCTAAGCGGCTTTGGTCTCTAGGTCAGGTCCCTTGACCTTTCTCTCCTTGCTTCCTAAACAGTGATATACCTACATGTATAGGAGCACTGGGGACTTTTAAGAATTCCTTCCCAGAGTGCACTCGGCACAGGCTATGACTGTGGGCAGGTGTCAGTAGATGCCAAGTCTCAGGAAAAGGCTGTTATCTCCTTGGTGAAATAAATGCTCCACCCTCAAATGTTCCTCATAGCGACCTAAGGTGAGGAGTATCTGTGAGCTCAGCTTAGCCGTGACGTCACTCTGTCCTTGTTGAAAGTGGTGGCCACGATCCTTGAGCCAGCCAAACTGGTGGAGGCAGCTTACACTTGCTGTCCGCTTCTGGGCCCACCCATATGAAACCCTCTTCCTGCTGTAACTGAGTGAGCCTGTGAGCCACAGCATCCCATCCCTGAGCCTGTTGCCTGGCCTGAAGGAGAGGTTGGATAAATGCTGAATTCAGTTGGTGGAAGTGGCCTGAGGTGCCCTGGCTCCCTCCACTCACCACCGTGTGCTCACACCAAAGCGTCAGGCAGTGGTTGTTCACTTGGTCCCAGGCATCCTTCGTGGTTTCTTCGGACAGGAGCAGAAGCTCGGAGCTGTCCCGAGGCCGGTAGCTGGTAGGGATGATGGGTAAAGAGCATCAGCTCAGAAAGCACTCCAGAGCCAGCCCTCTGCATCAGCGCAAGACCCCCGCCACACCCTCAGCTGCCGCCTTCACGAGGCTCACCTCAGTTGAGTGTGTTCTGGCAAGAGCACCAGTTTCCTAGCCACCATGTCCCGAAGCCGGCTGTAGGGAAGGCCAAGCTGAGTCTCCATGACCACTGTGTATTTGTAGTGCACCTTGAGCATGTAGGGCATGGGCACTCTGAGCTTCACTTCCTGACGAAGGAGAAGCAGAGGACACCTTAGGGACCGAGAGCAGCATCCCGGATTACCACAGCCTCCTGACACTTTGTGTGCAGCACCCAGGAGTGCCCCAGGGAACAGGGGACGGGCCTATAAACAACTGGCTTCCCCCTTCCCCAGAGGCCTTCAGAGGGCTCTGGTCCAGCTCACTGGCACAGTAGTTTCTACTGAGCTATGTGCTCAGCTGGGGTCTAGTATGACGTGTGCAGAGGTCCCCATCCTGTAGAAGCAGTGTCAGTGTCAACCCTTTTCAGTGACCCTCCACAATCTTAAGAGACATCCCCCATCCCAAGCCACACTCATTCATTTTCTTCCCTTGGAAACAGAAGGAAGAAATTACCTTGGGCTCTTCTTTTTGCTTGTGACCTAAATGGAAAAAAGGAAATGGTAAACGAATGCTCATGGTGGCACCTGCCACCCACAGTGCCAGCTTCTTACCCTTTAACATCTAAGAATTCATTCTGAAAGAGCATGGACACCGCAAATGTGAGCAAAGCCAGTCCCTGCTTCCGGGCAGCTACATATCGGTAGCTATCAGAGGACCGGCCTACAGGCCAGTTAAACCAGTAGGATCCAAGGGAGGAGGAACCACAGGAGATGAGCCCTAGTCCCAGGCAGAAACACCAGCACCGTTACCATCTCATAGTCCTGTAGTTTTGAGTATATTTGTGGTTTAAAATGCGTAATATGTTAACACAGCAGGGGGTGGAAAAGAGAAGCTATTTACCACCAAAGATGTAAGAGCCATTGATCACAAACCCAGCTGATTGTTAGAATCACTTGGGAAGTTTGGCCGACACCAACCAAAGGCCTAGGAATCTGGTGGTTCAATCTCTCCAGTGTTGTGTCCTGTCATGAACCTCCAGACAGAAAAGGTAAGGACAAAAAAGCTACGAAGGACAGTGTATGGGGCCACTGAAGTATTTACATGTGGAATAGACGGTGTCCTAAGTGAGAAACGCACTCCTTAGGCACAAGCTGTACTTGTGTGACTCACAGGGGTGGAGAGGTACTGATACGTTGTTTACATTTAAAATTTTTGTTTTAGTGTGTGTGAATGATGGGAGGGCACGCGCCCTGACATGCATAGAGGCCAGAGGACAATTTCTTAGTGGAGTTGATGCTCTACTTCCTGCTTTATGTAGGTTCTGGTCATTGCAGTCATCACCAGGTTTATGCAGTCAGTGCCTTGAACCACAGAGGCATCTTGCTGGCCCAGGACTGGTGTGTTTAAGTAAAAAGTATTGTAAGTATTCATTGTACCCTACTTCCAACTTTTCTGTGTGTCTGCAATTTTTCAACTAAATATGCAGAGGAGGGGCATAATCAGTTTGTCGTGGACAGACAGCTCTGTCCTCTCCATCAGAAGAGACCTCCACTGCTTAAACTCACCAGTAACAAAAAGTTGTGGCTTTTCCAGACAGCCCTACCCAGCTTAGGAGAGATCCTTCTGGAAAGATCTCCCATCCACACCTTCCAACGAGTGGTCCCCTGTTCAAGCCCCAGAGCTCTGCAGAGAGCATACAACTCAGTGATTTGAAGAGAGCTGAGGGGAGAAAATGCAGTCACTGCTGCCTCTCTTCCTGGACCTGGTTTCGGTCATTTGGTGACTGCTGTCATGACGGGCACACACTGCCCCTTCATCTGCACTCATTTCTAAGGAGGTGGGGGCAGGGCACTGGCGTCACATTCCAGTGGGATGAGCGTGCAGGCAAGACAGGGCTCTGAGTAAATGCAGTCATGAACCAAGGGGCATGCTGGGTAAAGAAACCTGAATTTCCTAGATGGCTACGAAAGCAGCTATTCATCATGAAGCATCCCAGAGAACTCCTTCTCCGGGGCCACCCACCTGGTGACAACTGGGATCTTGCTGGGGCGCTGGAACTAGGAGGGGGTGGAATATCAGATTCCGGGGAGGTGTCCTCCTGGAGGGGATGAGAGGAGACAGTCAAATGAAAGCGTGAGGGCATCCTCGGAAAGAAGCTGGCTGTAAATGACTTCCTAAAAGTTGGGGTGATACGACACAGGGAGATGATGAAGGAAAAGGGGGCTAATGTGTAGCAGCAATAAGAATCCTAATGGCCACCTCCACGGCCCTTTGCCGTCTTACCGGCCATGATGAAAACCTACCAACATGGGGTGACGAGCCATGCTTCCGTCTCAACTGCAGAATGTACCGAGAAAGGGAAAATCCCACTTCCCATCTGCACGGCGTTTGAAACTTCAAAGGGCCTCAATTTCATGACTGACCAGGGAGGGCTCCACACACGTGCATCTCATTGCACAGTGTGAAGAGACAGACCACAGGCTGCCCTCAGAGTGCCCCGTAGCTAAGGATGGCAAGCTTCTGATCCTCCTGCCTCTGCTTTCCAAGTGTTAGGAGCATATGCCACCGTGCCTGGTTTATTCAGTGCTGAGGACTGAGCTCGGGGCTTCGTGCATGCCACGCGAGCACTCTGCCAGCCGAGCTACATCCCCAGCCTTTATTTTGTTTTAAATGGCATTGTACCAACCAACACGTTGACCATTCTCCCTGGTGAACACCTAGCTCTAAGGCTTAGTTAGGCTTTGCTTCCTAAGTCTCCCTGACCGGGAGGACTCCCAGGGTAGCGGGGTGGAGGTGTTGATCCAGTGGATTCTCAACAGTTCCCTCCACTCAGCATGGCTGATCTTTCACTCTAGGCATCCCATTACCGGCTCAAGTGGCCCAGAGCGAGTGAGTCTTCCTTCCATGACAGGGAGACCACCCCCTTCACACTTTCTTCCCTCAAGAGAGTTGTGTGAAGGGTGAGAGGGGTGGGCTAGACCTTGACGCTGCATTACCTGGGGCTGCGACTGAGGATGAATCCGAAGCTCCACTGGCTCCAGGTAGTTGCAAGGGACAAGTCCCTTCTGCGGTGTCACATCCCAGAGTCCAGAAGGGAAAACAAAGACTCATTAGTACCCAAAACACAGAACCGTCTGCAGCCACGCGCAGGGCCAGCACACAGACGATGACCCTTGTCTGCAAATCATGCCGCAGGTACCGTCCCAAGGAAAAGAAAGCTCTGCCCTTTGCTGCTGGGACCCTATGCCCTTAGCACCTCCCCCTGACCCTCCAAATACCTGTCCATTGAACATGACCGTGGCCCAGTTATCGCTGCCCTTCTTCAAGACAAAGACGATGTTCCCTGGCATGACCTGGAGCTCTTCTGGTGTCTCAGGCACAAAGCCAAACAACACTCGATGTGCCTCGCCTTCCAGAGCCCTGAGGGGTGCACGGAAGACCCAGCCCATCGTTCAGCTTGGACTGCATCCCCTTACTGCAGGAGAAGCACTTTGAGGCCAGAGACTTAGCTCAGCACTCACTCTAACTCCACATCTTACTGTGTATAAGAGCAGTGCAGGGTGCTGGCCTGCCCAGGACCCCGAGAGGACTAGGTAAGAAACTGCGTGTGAGTGTCTTCCATAACCACACAAGAGTTCCCCTTATCCTCAGGGAACACGATCCAGGAACCCAAGAGGTGGGTGAACCCGTATATGGCAGCCAACCCTTGTATGTCCTACGCTTCTCCTGTCCCCACATACACAAAGGTGACGACTTTCACTTCTGAACTGAGTGCACCATGTAAAAGTGGTTGTAACTTTTATAGTCTGTGGTGTACCGGCAGAACTAGTTCAAATTCCTTTCCCTTAACACTTAATCAATAGAACACTCTGGGTTCAACACCCCCGCCCCCCCCCCCCCCAGTACTCATTCCTTTTATATTGTCCTTGTTTTTTGAGACAGGCTATTACTCTGTAACTCAGGCTGGCCTGAGCTCTCAGCGATCCTCCTGCCTCAGCCTCTCAAAGGCAGGGACTAGAAATGTGAGCCTCCATACCCTGCCCTTTTCTCTGTTAGGCCAACATTCACTTTTTAACACAAAAGACAGCCTCACAGCTTCGGCATAGACAGATTGCGGGTCTCAGTACCCCTCTTGTGGTTTGGGTCCGTTATTAATCACCACAAGGGCTACTTGAGCAAGCTCCATCATGCTGTGACAATCCTTCTCAAAAGATACTATTCTTTGCTTTATTTTATTGAGCTTCTTTCATTCCTATTTTTATTTTATTTATTCATGTGTCTGGGGGACACGTGTGCCACGGTGCAGCAGTGGAGGTCGGAGGACAATTTTGTGAAGTTCTTTCGCTCTTTCCACCTTTGTGTGAGTTTGAGAATCCAACTCAGGTCACCAGGCTGGCAAAGTAAGTGTCTCTGCCCTCTGAGCATCTCACTGGCCACGTTTTTTTGTTTTGGTTTTGTTTTAATTAACGTGCACGGTATTGGGTTTCACTGTGACATTTTTCTAATAAAAACTGATTTTGCTGATTCTCCTTCCTCTTCTCTCATACCCCACGTCTACCCTTGCGTGCCCTTTTACACACGAACACCCCAGCCTCCTGCTTCCAGGTCATAGGTGTCCTGTTACACTCCCCCACCACTCATTTTGGACTCTGGCGGTGTGACGGGGAAACCCTGTATAGCCAGATGGCTACCGAGAGACTAGCAGACAGGTGGCCCACAGCGTGGTATACACCCCTCCTAGATGGAGGGGATTTCCTCACACTTCTCAGAATGGAAAGCAATGGAAAACGTCTTGTAGTTGTTTCTTTGCTTGGTTTTTCAGACGGGGCTGGGGGGGGGGGGGGGAGTCTTGTTATCTAGCTCTAACTGGCCTCTAACTCCCTGAATAGACCAGGCTGGCCTCAAACAGGTGGCAGTCCTCCTGCTTGCTAGGATTACAGCCTTGTGCTGCCACACCCAATATAAGATGACTGGTCTATTTCTGGAATTTTATATTCTGGGGTCATGGTGGGCCACGGGTAGTGACATGGTGGGCAGCAAGACTGTCTACAAAGAGAGACAAGAAAACAGTGGAACAACAGAACCAGCACTGGATGAGGAGACCTGCCTGACAATCCTCAGAGCCTCCCTTCCCTCCTGAGGGGGAAGTTAGCTCCCAGGTCCCCGCTGGAGTGGACAGGAAGTACGGCCAGGGGAACCACACAGGTGGAAGTCAGGGAACCCAGGGGAGGGGCCGCCCAGGCCAGCCTTGTGGGAAGGGGATGGAGAGCCAGGCACTGAGAGGCACAGGGGAGCATCTGCCACTGCTTTGCTTTATGTTAGACCATGCCCATCCCCCCTCACTGACCCCCCCAGGCCCCGGTTACCCCACACCTGGAGAGTCTCCTTTCTGTCACCTGGAATGTGTGAGTGAGGTTGCCTTGGAAACTGCCCATGCATGGGGTATCAGGTTCTACCTGCTCATGCCCACTGGGCCTGGTGATGTGGGGAATTCATTCTCTTCTGCCTGGAGAGCTTGGGGATGGGCTTCTTCAGCCCCTCACGTTGGGATCGCCTGTGGTACCCGCCCTATACACATACACACACTTTTTCTTACCCCCCTGTTTTTGGAGGGGGAACTAGGCTTGCTTTGTTCATTAGAGGCAGTTCTTAAGAAAGCTGAGGTGAGGCCACTCTGCTTCTCAATTTACAGAGTGACTTCCTTTTCTTGAGTCTTTCCCCTTTTTCAGAAAACATGTGTCAGTAGTGCGTGACGGCACCCACACAGGAAAAAAGACCCTGTGATAGCTTCCGGAATCTAGAGAGCTTCCGAGGGCCTGTAGTCAGTACAAAACTGACCTCTCACCTCTGACCTGGGCGGTGTTCCAGAGGGCACAGCTTCACGTCAGTGACCTCCCATTCTATCGGTGACCATGCCCGTTGGGACTCCAGGTTACTGCAGCTAGGCCCCCAGTGGCCACCCCACCACAAGGCTCCCGTCCCAGCTACATCATTTGGCTCTACCCTTGCAAACAGGAGGAGGCTAACAGCCTAGCAAAGGACTCAGGGTGTAGACCTGACCCCGGCTTTATTTCTCCCCATCCTTACTGCCATCAAGTCAGGTGTAGAGTGTAGACATTCTACATCCGGTTCTAAATCTAACTTACCTGAAGATCTCTGGGGTTTTGGGTCTGGGTGGAGGCTCCGCTGCCTGTGGAACATTCAGGAAAAATGAAGAAGGGGAAAATGACCAGAGAGAACAGATCATTAATGGTAATCTGAGCATTGTTCCAGATCCCAAACCAAAGACCTCATTTCTGAGTGCTCTCTGGGGAGAAGGCACAATTTGGGAAGCCAGCAGCCCGCCAGCTTGCCTGGTGTGGGCTTTACCAGGACAGCAATGGTTATGACCCAGAGCCGGTGTCTAGAGAAGGTGCTATTGATGGAGAGCTTCTGACCTCAAGCCTTGTCCCTTCCCAGTGTTTTCCAAAAGATCTGGTCTATAGTTAATGTTTGCCACCGTGTGTGACATTTCTGGATATTTAAAATCAGCTCAGCGTCTACTAGACAGACAAGAGTCTCCCTTTAATGCGTTCCCTGTTCGGCACTGAATGTCATAGAGTCCCTTATCTGGGACGTTCCGTCCCTGTCCTCCAGCTGGCCTGAAGCTCAACGGGCCTCAGCCAGGCTTTCTCCAACTTTACCATGCCGAAAGGGGACAAGGAATCTAGATGCTGGCTCTCATTATGCCCCTGTCCCCCTGGCCCAAGCATGGGTCACATGGTCACACAGTGATCATCCTGCCCCATACTTGGGGTAGAGGTCAGTGCTACCCTAGAAAATGTATATGCAGATGGCAGGGAGGTGACCAGGTTCCAGGCCCTTTCCTGTGCCAGCGCCGATCACTGCCCTTACCCATCACTGGGACACACAACCGAGTTTGGGTTTTCCTGAACCGGTGTCACCACCTTCCTGTCCACAGCCTTGTCTTTGTCTCCACACCCACTGCCCCATGTCATTGGGGACCATCCCTGAGCCCATCTTGGGCTGGTACCCTGCCCCAAAGGAATCTCTTACACATGAGCAAATGGATAGAGCCAAGAGAATCAGAACCTCAGGCTCTGCGCCCCCCTTGTCCCCTGACTCCCTCCTGAACCCATGAAGAGGCTTTGTCACAAAACTTCCAGGGTGTGTGTGTCAGTGTTCTGAGGGAATGGTCAAGCTGGGCGGTGGTGGCGCACGCCTTTAATCCCAGTACTCGGGAGGCAGAGCCAGGCAGCTCTCTGGGAGTTCGAGGCCAGCCTGGCCTACCAAGTGAGTTCCAGGACAGGCTCCAAAGCTACAGAGAAACCTTGTCTCGAAAGAGAGAGAGAGAGAGAGAGAGAGAGAGAGAGAGAGAGAGAGAGAGAGAGAGAGAGAGAGAGATTGAGAATAGTCAAGGTCTCACGAGGTGATCAACAGCTAGCTGTCTTAGAACTTGAAAAAGGAGGATCAGGACTTGGAAGAGCAGCTGACCTCAGAGGATGTAAGACAGAGAGCTGACGTGGCCATCCTCCCAAGCAGCTATGTAAGAGGGCAGGCACTGAAGGAAGCCTTATGATTAGTGTGTCAGCCTAGCTCCTCTCACTGGAGGGTACTTCCGGATAGATCTGGCCTCACCTGCGGCTGCAGAGGGGCGAAGCCAGAAAAGTTGTCTTGATGAACCACGGATGCTATAACCTGAAACACAGAGGAAAGAGAGTGAGCGTCTGCTGCCGACTCCGTTTGCCGGGCATCTGTGTCCTTCCCCAAGACCTCCTCCTTCCTCACACCACAGAACCATTATCGTTTGTGTAGGTTCCAGAGGGAGATGGAAGGTAAGGACTAGTGTACACCTCTTCTGGATTAGAACTCTCTCTCTTAGAAAAAAATATTGCTGATATTTATATAACATCAAATTAATTAGTTTAAGTGAAAATTTCATGGTATTTCATACACCCACAAGGTTTTGCAATGCTATCTGGTGCCAAACATTTTAATCACCCCACAAGAAAATATTGGACCTATTAAGTAGTTTACAGTCTCCTCTCCTAACCTGGCAACACACGTTTGGAAATCTCAGTGGTTTGACCTGCTTAAAGACTTTATATAGAATTATGTAGAATGTGCCTTTTCTCCCCATTTTGTGTGTGTGTGTTATGCATGTTGTGTGTGTTCTGTGTTTTATGTCTGAGGGGACAGATTTGTGTGTGTGAACATGCAAGTACAGCCCTCAGGTTAGTGTGAGAACCATCCTCCATTGCTCTCCACCTAATCCACTGAAGCAGGGTCTCTCAGTCAATGTCAGAGCTAACTCATGTGGCTAGTCCTGCTAGCCAGCTTGCTCCAAAGAGCCCCTGTCTCCACCTTCTGAGTCTGGAATTACAGGCAGGACTCCATGGCTGCCTGGCAGTTAAGTGGGTTCTGGGGACCTGGAATCTGCTCTTCATGCTTACACAAAAAGCTCTTTAACAGCTGAGCCATCTCCCCAGTGCTAGCACGTGACATTTGTATTTGTCTTCTCATAGACAGCATACATTTTCACGCATGTTGTAGCATGCCTTCTTAGTACTTCATCCTTTTTGTGGGTGAGAAGTATTCCGCTATCTGGACATATCACCACATTGTATGTATCTATTCATTATTGGGGGCTCTTTGAGTGTTTCCAGTAGCCATGTTCTGTGGGTCTCTATGGTTCTGCCAGCTCCAGCTACTCAGCCACTGGAGAACTCACGTTTCCAAACTGTCAAAGTCAAATGCAGTCTGGAAAAGGTACTGCTGCCTCACTTCAAATCATGTCTGGAAGAATTTAAGACCTGGGTTCAGAAGAGATCCTGCTGAAGAAGGAATCCAGTTGTAGGGCCGTGAAAATGGGAGCGATTCCCCAGAATTCTGAGCAGTGAATTGCAGGAGCAGTGAGTCAGGGCATTTCCTGCTGGTCCTCTCCCCTAAATTTCCCTTAGCTATGTGAACCCTAGCTATGTCCTTTATCATTTGCCTCAGTCCTGAGACTCAGCATCCTGAGAGGAGCCTCGGGAATTACTGAGGACCAGGATGATGGAAGACACTAGAAGAATTCATTCCTTACTGTCAGCAAGATCCTCATTGTCATCCCTGAATGCCACAGCAGGGACATGTCTTCTTGAATCCCTTCCACCCGGCCCAGGGCACAGGAGAGGTGGGAAGATGAGTGGTCCCACCTACCGTAGCTTTGCCCAGATAGTCCTTCTTGGCCAGCTGAGCCACCTGCCTCTCATTTGGCCGGAAGAGCCTACCCACAGGGATCACCACGGGCTCGAACAGTTTCTGCTTCTGTAATAGAACAGACAGTCACATGTCACTCAGCAGCACTGGGTTCATTCTGAGCAGCGTTCTGTTAGGTGACCCTGTGTGAGCATCCCAGAGTGTGCTTATACACTCTCAGTGGCTCAGCCCTTGGGGAATGTGGTCTACTGGTGGACTAAAATGCCTTTACATCTCTCTCATGACTGTATCTTCTCATCTGAAAATGGGAGAAATGAAACCGTCCCTGCCTTTCTCATCAAACGGACCACTGGAGAAAGTCTCAAGGGAACGTCCTTTTCAAACCATAGAGACTTGTTATGCTAGAGGGCTAAGCAGGAGCAGATGGGTTTATTAATTCTTTGAGACTTTCATACATTATTTTGATCATATTCACCCAACCCCTCCCCTTAACTCCTACCAGATCCACCCTCACCTCTTCAATCCCCATGACTCTGTGTCTTTTATGTACTTGTTTGAAACAGAGTCTCACTGTACAGCCTCAACTGGCTTGGAACTTACTATGTAGACCAGGCTGGCCTGGAATTCATAAAGATCTCTCTGTCTGTACCTCTGGTCTGTGCCACTATATCCAGCCTCTTTTTTTTTTTAAGATTTCTTTATTTATTATGTATACAGAAGAGGGTGCCAGATCTCATTACAGACGGTTGTGAGCCACCATGTGGGTGCTGGGAATTGAACTCAGGACCTCTGGAAGAGCAGTCGGCGCTATCAACCTCTAAGCCATCTCTCCAGCCCCAGCCTCTTTTTTTTTTAATAACCCCTCAATCCCAATTGTATTATTATTCATAATCTTCTGGGTGTGGTTATCAACTGGAGTACGGTTGACCTAAGCCACACCCTTCAATAAAACTTGGCTCTCCCTTCCCTAGAAGCCACCAGCTGTCCATAGCTCTTCAGTTAGGGATGGGGCCCATGAACCCCTTTCTACTCCAGGCTACAGTGTTTACTGCCTCGATCTTCTGTGCGCAACCACAACGGAGTTCAGAGTGAGTTCGGAGAAGTGGTCCTGTCACGTCTTTAAAATATTATTTTGTTTGGATCCACCATGACCTCTGGATCTTACAGTTTTTTCTGACTACCAATCCTGTGATGGCCTTGAGCCTTGGGAATGGGATGTGACACAGATGTCCCATTTGTGGCTGAGCACTACTCAGCTGCTGGTTCTCTGCGCTTGGACCTCATCTGATGAGAACCAAGAGCTGCAGTGAACTATGGGTATAGGGGTGCAAGGTTAGAGGACAGTGTAATTGTGGTAGCTTGGATGCAATCGGCCCCCATAAGCCCATAGGGAGTGGCACTAGTAGGAGGTGTGGCTTTGTTGGGGTGGGTGTGGCCTTGGTGGAGGAAGTGTGCCACTGTAGGGGTGGATTTTGAGGTCTCCTATGCTCAAGCTATGCTCAGTGCATGCTTCCTGTTACCTTAGGATCAAGATGTAGAACTCCAGCTCCTTCTCCAGCACCATGTCTGCCTGCATGCCACCATGTCCCACCATGATGATAATGGACTAAACCTCTGAAAATGTAAGCTACCCCCAATTAAATGTTTTCCTTTATAAGAGTTGCTGTGGTCATGGTGTCTCTTCACATCAACAGAAACCCTGACTAAGACAATGACACTATGCCCATTTAGCAAAATAATAGTAATAGGTTCCCCTTTGGGGTCTGTGAGCTCCCCAACAACGGGTATTTGGTCAGATTCACAGTACTAGGCCTGTGTTTCCTCCTATGGAGTGGGCCTTAAGTTCAGGCATAGCGGTTGGTTACCCTGTGGCGTTTACACCTCTACTGTGCCCGTGGGCATATCTTACCAACACTGATCATTATTTCAGTTCACAAGGCTCACAGCTGTGTAAGACTACTGATAACTTTTTTCTCCCAGAAGCCTGCATAGAACCTTCCAGTACTATTAGAGCTAGCCAGCATGAAGGAAGCTTCTTGGTCAGTACCAACTTGATTTCTTCATGTCCTGTGACCAATGTGTGTGCTGTCTTAAGCAATAGGGTCTTGTTGGAGCTGTCCTACACAGAGGATTATGTTCATCCCAGAAGTCATAGGTTGCCAAATAAAAAGACCAGTGGCAAGTGTGGGATACTTCCCCTTGAACTGTTAGTCAGGGGTGTCCAAGGGACCTCCAGAACAATCCAGACTATTCCTATTGCTCTTGGTTGCCTACTGGAAGCAGTTGGTTTTAACATCACCTCATGTTGGTTTTATTTACCCAATACTCCTTCTCTAGAGCACCGTCCCTTTCCCACTTGGTGTGGTATCTAGAGTTTCTCTCCCAGCATAGAGGACACCACTACAAGGGCCAAGCAAGGGCTGTGACAGTGCTCTCTTGGGACTGGTTTGCTCATGTACACAGGCATACAAAAACTTGAGCTCCCTTCCTGGTGTTTACGTACAGCTTATTTAAAACTACCTTTTGGGGGCTGGAGGGTGGCTCCGAAGTGAAGAGCACATCCCACTCTTCCAGAGGACCAGAATTTGCATCTCAGCATCCACATCCGACAGCTCACAACTGCCTATAGCTCCAGCTCCAGGGGACTCAATACCCTTCTGGTCGCGATGGCCACCTACCCACACCTGCACATTCCCACACATAGACACATAATTAAAAATAAAGTATCTCCAAAGAAAGAAAAACGACTTTTGCTCCCGAGTAAAATCAAGCTATGAATAATAAAGTTTCGTAATTCTTTCGTAGAACTGGAATATTTCTGTGGGAGCCATGTTGAGCCTGGCACTGTGCCAGACAGTGAGGCTGCAAAGGTAAGCAGAAAAGCCCAGCCTCTGTCTTCACAGTGCTTGGAGGCTACACAGCACCAAGAAACGGCAGGCATCGCCCAGGGCCCCACTACGAGAGATCCAGGGGCTGTGCTGTTCTGTTCTCTAGGATGTGGCTTTCTCAGCTCAGATGCAGGATGGAACATGTTGAGAGAGCATTTGTTAGCCAGAACCAACAAAGACAATGTTCCCCATCATGGTGTCCTAGGAAACAAACGGGACTCTAAGGACACCCTCTCCGCCACCACACTCACCCAGATGCTTTCCATGGCCTTGTCGATTTTGGAGTGCCTGGGTTCCGACTTCATGTTTGTCGCCAATGCCAACTGTTCTTCTGCCTTTTTCCATTCCTCTTTCTTGGCGTGCATGAAGGCGATGTTATACAACACCTAGAAGAGCAGAGGCCACACGAAACTGGAAACTACTCCAAAGCAGGCACCCGGAAGGATGCACATGTACATACAGGGAAAGCTGTCTGGCGACAAAGTCCCCTTCCCCAGCATTCAGGGGACAGCCAACAATTAGTCTAGCTACTGAGTTATGTCAGACATAGGGGCTGGGTTAAGAAAACATGTTATAGCCGGGCGGTGGTGGCGCACGCCTTTAATGCCAGCACTCGGGAGGCAGAGCCAGGTGGATCTCTGTGAGTTCGAGGCCAGCCTGGTCTCCAAAGCGAGTTCCAGGAAAGGCGCAAAGCTACACAGAGAAACCCTGTCTCGAAAAACCAAAAAAAAAAAAAAAAAAAACCATGTTATAATGCATAAAGCCAGTATCATGTGCATTCATTCTTCTAACAACCAACTAGGTCAGGAGGGGATGAGGAACTAGTGTGTTGTCCTAATATAGGGAAGAGGAGCTTTCCCAGCACCCCTTGGGGAGGCAGAGGCAGAGGCAGAGCTGGGGAGAAAAAATGAAGGTGTGTGATCTCTAATTCCTGCTCTTGCGGTTGAACCTGGGCTGGGCCATAGGTCAGGTGCGGGGTGGACGAAGGTTCCAGATGTCTTGTTCTGTATGTGAGCCCTCAGAACCTGGCTGGGATTACAGGAATAGCAAGACTGTTACACAGCCTCATGCATGAGACAACTCCATGGTCAACGTCCAGCGGAGCTGGGGAGAGAGTTGGCACCACAGAGCCCAGGGGAGCGCTTTAGCTGCAGTAGGGGAGGGAATGGCAGAACTCCCCAGGCCTTAAGTTGGATTCTAGGGTCATTAGAGTCTGTTTTATTAAAATACTGTGCTATTTACACACAGAACCAATTAAGCTTTTGGATACGTTAGTAAGAAAAAAGTAAGTTATGGAAACAGAGGTGTGATGCTTGCAGCTGAGTCCTGAAGGACACTGACGCTCGATCTTCCCTCTCTTAGATCATGTGCTTTTGGGGACACCAGCTGCCCTGTCCTGACAAAACACAGACAGTCCCATGGGGCTGTTCTGTAGCAAGAATGGAGGCCTCTTGCCAACAAACAATTCGACCATGCCAGACACACCTGGGTGACGAGGTTGGTATTTCCGTGGAGTTAGCAGCTGGTGCTGATGCTGGGAGCTGGGTTAACCCCAGGAGTGGAGCTCTAGACGTGTGTGTGTGTGTGTGTGTGTGTGTGTGTGTGTTAGTCATGGCATATGCATGGAGGTCAGAAAACAATCTGAAGGAGTCAGCCCTTTCCTTCTACCATGTGGGTCCAGGGGTGTGAACTAAGGACATCAACCTTAGACAAGCAACTCTTGCCCACTGAGCCACTTGCCAGCCCCAAGGACTTGGGATTTGGATTTTTTTTTTAACTGAACAATAGTACAAAAGAGAAATACATTCAGGAGAAAGAGCACTTCAGACACACACTAAAAACTGTCTTGCAGTTTGGTTAGTATCGTAGAACGTTCCACCAGTCAGCCACACAACCACAGAGGAAAGCAAGTGAGACACACTGGGGCAGGGGAGGTGGGGTGGGGGGAGTGGGGGCTGCAAGGGGTGGGGTGGGGGGGAGTGTCTCTGTGATCACCACAGCAAGCAGAATAAAAAGCCATGGGAGGCAAGAAGGTAGTTTGGTTCAGCACATCTAAGTAGCCCGTGTTGGTTCAAACCTTGAGAGCCTGACCCTGAGTGGTTTATTTTAGGCAAATTTAAGCACAACACAATTTGGTGGAAACTTTCCTGGTGATAATGAACTCAATCCTAAAGCACAAGCGAGCTGAATAAAGATCAGATGTGACCACATTGCAACTCTTTGTAAGGCGCATGTGACACCTTCCATAAAGACGGGTTCTACAGACTGACTGAGAAAAACAAACTCATGACCTGGGGAAGGTTAGAGCAGGGTTGGGGCCACACAGCACTAAGGTCACCAGGCTATGAACCATGTCCACCCTCAGCCTTCTGAGTGGATAAGAGGTTATATATCCTCTCCTTTGAAGGAACAGCACTGTGTATTTAGCATTCCAGGTTTCCCTAGTACTTAACTGCGAACACAAGGACCTCCATGCTTCCTACATCACACTAGTGTGCTAGGCTATAAAACAATGATGTACGTGGTGTAGGTGTATTAAATGCAGTTTTTTACTTAAGATGGTTTTTATCCTAACTGGGACTGAGGATGTGGCTCGGTTGTGCTTGCTTAGCATGTACAAAGCCCTGGGTTCCCACCCCACTACTACATAAACCCTACTGGTGGTGCACACCTCTGTTCTGAGCACTCTGGGGGGGGGCAGTGAGGCAGGAAGATCAGAAGTCCAAAGTCATCCTTGGCTACATACCAAGTTTAAGGCTAGCCTGGGCTATAAGAGTCCTGTTCAGAAAGAGGGAGGGAGATAAAGAGAGAGACAGAGACAGAGAGACACACACACAGAGGCAGAGAAAGAGAAAAGAGACAGAGAAGGGGGTGTAATTTGGACAGAACCTGTTGTCCTAAGTTGAGAAACATCTGGCACAAACTTGGCTGCCCTAACCTAGCCATGACATGTGAGGACAGAGAAGAGATCACAAAGAGCTTTAAAGCTGTTCTTATCTTTTTCTCAGTTACCTTCTCTTGAGGCCTTTCCCCATAACCAGTTTTTATGACTCGAGGCCCTTGAGGCGCCCTCACAAGAAATGGCGTAAGTAGGGAAATGACTGGGTCATTTCACCCCTAACCACACTAGGGACTCCCTCCTGTGAAGTTCCGTTTGCCACCTCAGCCTATTCCCCCTTCACATGTGTGAGTGACAAGTGGCCCTCAGCAGGGTGAATGGCAATGTGTGGAGATTCTTTTGATCATCTCAAGGTGAGGTGGGAGGCTCCTGGCGTCGAGTGGGAAGAGGCCAGAGGCCAGAGGGCCAACAATCCCACCAGGACAGCCCCTGTAACGAAGTGTCTGCTCCCGCTTGTTGAGAGCCACCGCCCTTGGGAACTGGTCTCATGCCAGCCAATTCCCAGAGCTGAGTCCCATCTTCCCTTGTGAGCCATGGCGGCATAGCTGGGTGCCTGCTGCGTGCGGGGCAGGATGGGCCACACGTCCCCAGGGACTCGGGCAGGGATAGAATCTATTTTTACTCGCAGCTCTGAGCAACCCTCGGAACACTCTGCTTCTTGTGCCTGAGAAACTGAAGCAGAAGAGACAACGTCTGTTTGGCAATGCTTCTAAATAAAGGTCCGTGACATTGGCGGGGGTGTGTGGGGGTGGGGTCATTTTTAAAGCTACCGGTTTATGTTTGGAAGTTTGATAGGGAAGGTTTTGGGGGAAGAAAAAATTCATAAACTCACAAGCCAAAGCCAGCCACGCCTGTCCTTTTTGGTAATACGGGAAAGAGGTTGTCCTTGTTTGGAGAACCATCCCGCACCGGGTGCTTGGTACTGTTCTTTGACAGACAGACTTGTACCAAATGACCCGCAGCCTCTCTTTGAGTGTTAACCAAGTACCCAGATGGGTTACAATGGGTTCCTCTGACAGAGAACAATACAATGGGTTCCTCTGACAGAGAACAATACAGTGGGTTCCTCTGACAGAGAACCCGTGATTTTGGATCTAATGCTGAGCAAACAGCTTGCCAGCTTGAATTGCTAAATAAAATATGCAAATTACTGCAAATACGCTCACAGGCCGGCACGCTCCTGTCTGGTCTCCCTTCAGAGCACACAGTGAGCTTGTGTTTGCACAGGCCTTTGAGTCTGAAATTAGGAAAACATTCACTCTCAGGTACCTAATTACTCTGTGAGGAGCCTGAAGGCATTGAACCTCCCTCCCCTCCTCTCCTCTTCCCTTCCCTCTCATTCCCTCCCTTTGTCAATGTTGAGGTCCTGGGCCTCACACGGGCTAGGGGGCTAAGCGAACACCTGAGCTCTGGGTGTTTTCTTAACCGGGAGACTGAGCGTCTGGGCACAGGTGTCAGCATGACGTCAGCAAGCCTCCTCGGCGGGTGCTAAGAGATCACTGTGCTTCTTAAATGTCCTCTCCAGGCCATCCCTGCCCGCCTTACCTCACAGGCAAACAGCTTGAACTGGAGCCCCAGGACCTTGTAGTCTATCAGCTGATTCCCTCGAAGCTGAGTCAAGGCCTCTTTAAGGTCTTTGATAGCTAAGTCGTATCTGCAGGACAGGGGGAGAAGTCCGTCAGTCCATCCAGGTCATGGAGAAAGAAATGCAGAGTACGTGTCTCTATGCTTCTCCATCCATCCCACTGGTAGAAGCCTTCCTATTTCGGTTGACCAACTCTATCTTTTCACCAACCCTGAGACTGAAGATTCTACAGACGAGGTGTGGTTTTTGCAAGCTGGAGACCCTCCGTCTGCGACAGTAATGGGGATTTTCTTCTCTATGGGCTGTAAACACGTTTCCCACCTTCTGATGACCCCGGTGACCTTCAAACGCAGCTCTTACTCTCACTGGAGAACCCCAAGCGGTACCGCCCCTGCCCACCCTGCTTCCCTTTGGAAGAGTCTCAGGGCAGTCCTCACCACCCTCGTTCAAGGTCAGATCTGCCCCGCACAGCTGCCTGCCAGGGGTTCCGTGACACAGTAACAGCTGCGGGCATCCTCCTCCTGCCCACAGCCTTCTGTGTCTTCTGCTAAGCTCAGCTTAGCTCTTGGCTTGGCAGCCTCTTGCCTCCTGTTCACACTTTGGGAAAGAGGGAGAAGTGATTCCCACACCTATCTCGGGGCCACCCTGTAAAGGAGGAGGAGGAGGGCTTCCCGGCCGGCCGCTCTCTGTAAATGCACAGGCTGTTTCCCTGCAGCAAGGAGGGGAGCAGGTGGAGGCGCAGGTGGCCTGTTCCCTGAGCAGATGCAACTTCCACTGTGTTCCACAGCCCACTGGGGAGGGGGCAGGGGACATCTCAGAGGGTACGCTAACCGACAAATGTGCCCTGCTCCCCGAGGAGCTGGCGGAGCAGGTGGACTTCAGCTGTGGAGATGCCCCGAATCTACCTGGCACTGTAGGGACTCAGCAAAGCCCTCCATGTCATTTTCTGTCTCATCAAGATGTCCACAGTGTGAAGAAGAAAGGACACATAACCCGCAGGGCTTGTTTTGTGTGAAAAAAGCTGGGTGGGGTTAACCCCACTAAAGTCCATTTGTTGCTGTTGCTTATTTTTTGGAAATAGGGTCTTATGTATCCCAGGCTGGTCTCGAACTCAGTGTGTATCCTGGGATGACCTTGACCTTCTGATCCTCCTGCCCCTACCTCCTGAATGCTGGATTGTACCTAGTTTATGCTGGGGATCAAGTGACCTAGAGCTTCCTGCATGCTAAGTAAGCTCTCCAGCGACTGAGCAGTGTCCCCAGCCCTAGTGTCCGTTTTTAAACTTGTCTTTGCACAAATCATCTGCACAAATTGGCAGCCCCCTCCTACCCTGCTGCAGCTCCCCTCCTTCCTCACCCCTGTACTTGTGGACCTCAGCTGCACCCATGGTGAGGAGCTTGGCTTTCACACAGCTCTGGAGCCAAGTGCAAAGGTCTGAATAGGATCAGTTCTTAGGAGAAGCTAAGCCCTGGATCCTGCTGGCCTCCTTCAGAGTTATCCTCTGTGCCATCTGGAAGCTTCCTAAGAAGTCTGCCAAGAAGCAGCCACACACACCCTCCCCGGGAGGCGGCGGCGGCGGCGGCGGCGGCGGCGGCGGGGGTGGGGGTGGGGGTGGGGAGGCAAGCTTTCTGCTCCAGAGGACTTTTCCTTGCCGTTTCTGTAGCAAGCCCTGCAAGGATGCCTTAGAAACTGCTGAAGCTGTTGCTTGCTTCTGCTACCAACACACACACACACACACACACACACACACACACACACACACACACACGAGTCTAGAATCCCAGAACACATGCTCACACTCCTCGGGGTATCAGAGTCTCCGGATGCTGCCCATGCAACTCCAACAGGTAGACAGGTCCAATCCTCCCACCTTCAGCCCAGCAGGAAGAAAGGCTTGCCTCCTCCGCTTTCAAGGTCAGCTCCACCTTATTCTGAAAGGTCTCACCGCGTTTTTATTTCCACAGCCCTAAGGTCCAGGAGGCCCACGGTGTGAAGGACAACGTACAGACCCTCCCTCTTCGGGATGACAAAGCTAGAGGCAGAGACGTTTGATGGGAGGGAGGGAGCCGTCCTGGGATACCATCTGTGGCTTGGGAACACCTCTGACTTTCTGCTAGAGTTGAAGACGAGGAAGCAACACGACACAGAAGCCAGGTGAGTGGGTGGTCGAGGGGGAAGAACCTTCCTTGGTGTGACCCTGTTAAAACGAACCCCACTGCGACGTGGGGGGGGACACACGCCCAATTCACTCAGCACTCAGTCACCTCTCTAGACCACCATTTGTTTGTTTATTTATTTGTTATTTATTTATTTAGGTTTTTCGAGACAGGGTTTCTCTGTGTAACTTTGGTGCCTGTCCTGGATCTCGCTCTATAAACCAGGCTGGCCTCAAACTCACAGAGATCCTCCTGCCTCTGCCTCCCGAGTGCTGGGATTAAAGGTGTGCGCCACCACCACCCAGCTGTGCTCTGTACCACAATCACGAGCCCTGGTGATGGATTCCCTCCCCCTCCCCATTTAATCTACACCTTCCTCGAAGCAGAAACTTGCTTATATTCATTTAATTAATCCAACAAGTGTGGGTTTGTAAAGATTTCCGGACACAGGGTAACCCCCAGAGCTTGGGAGGTGGAGGCAGGGCCAAGAAATCAAGGCCAGCCTCAGCTACAGAAATGCTGTCACCAGCAAACAAATGACTTAACGAAAAGGAAAGAAGAAAAGGGGGAGCTGGGGAGGCGGCTCAGTTGTAAAGCGTTTACTCCTCAAACATGAGGACCTGAATTCAGATCCCAAGGACTCACAAAAACAAAGCCAAGCACACTAACTGGAGAAATGGCTCAGTAGTCAAGAGCATGGGCTGCTCTTGCTGAGGACTGGGATTTCCTTCCAAGCACTCACATGGCAGCTCACAGCTAAAAGGGTAAAGGCGCTGGTGGCTGGCGCTGGTTACAGTCACGACAGAACCCAGTGGTGCCTTTTAGAGCTTTATTAGGAGAAGGAGAGAGAGGGAGAGAGAGAGAGAGAGAGACAGAGACAGAGACAGAGAGACAGAGACAGAGAGAGACAGAGAGAGACAGAGAGACAGAGACAAAGACAGAAGCAGAGAGAGAGCGTGGGGGTGCACATCCGACTTTTAGGCTGGGACACAGTCGCCCAGTGATGATGTAATAAGGCACCAGACAAGACCCGCCCCCCCAGCTTCGCATATACAGAATCCTTACGACAACCACCCATAACTTCAGTTGCAGGGGATCTGATGCACGCTCTGGCCTCCATGGGTACCAGGCATGCACATGATGCACATAAGTACCTGCAGGCAAAACACTTAGACACATAACATAATCTTAAAAAAAAAAAAAAAAAAAGCCAAGCGTGGCAGTATGTGCCTGTAATCCCAGGTCTGGGGAGACAGAGACAGGCAGATCACGGGGATCGATCGACTGGCCAGCCACATGAGCAAAGTGGCCAAGTCTGTGTTCGGTGAGTGAAGTTGGAAGGCTTTGATCTGAGGGTGTTGTCGGCCTGGAAGGTTGAGTGCTCAGCTGTTGCTAAGGGCAACCACCAGTGCTCAGAGAACTTCCAAGGTGTAGATGTGGTCAGTCACCTGATTGGGTGAGAGGAAAATGAAAGTCTCCTTGGAAGAAAAGTCACGGACATGGAGCCCCTCTGGAGAGAGGGCCTGGGGTAGGGGGAAGGAGGAGGTGGCTGCCTCTACAGACAGTCTGGCTGCTCACGTCTCAACATTCTCTGCTCATCCCCATTTCCGGCACTCAGTATGTTCTCCAGAAGTTACAGAATATAGACAGAGGCCAGCCACAACCCAGCCCAGCCCAACGCCCCCAACCCCTGCCTGTTTAACCTCAAAAGACATTTCCACTAGCTCTAAGAACCTATGGTACTGAGACAGTAGAAGAGGACACGCTGCCAGAAAGAATTAATACATGAAAATATTTGCAAGTCCCAGAGCTGGAAGGCTAAGATTTTGAAATATATATATATATATATATATATATATATATATATATATATATATATAAATCTAGAACTAAAATAGACATGGTAGCTTATGCCTGTAGTCCCAGCACTTGGGAATTGAAGGCAGGGCATTAGGAATTCAAGGTCATCCTCAGCTAACAGACTTTACTACATAAAACCCTGTCTCAAAAGCAAACAGAGGCGGAGAGGTTGACGGGAAGGGGGGGGGGGGGAGAAAGAGGAGATGTGAATGGGAAAGATCCAGAAATAAGATGCGGGACTCAATCTGAATGATAACGGTTAAGTTGGAGAACAATAATCTACCAAATCTAATCTTTAGTTCTGCGGCTCTCTAGTGGGGAAATAATAGTAAGTCTGGCATATTCTCAAGCCCAAACTATCTCCTTTCTTTCGCTCGGTCCCTAGGTAGTGTTTTCACTGACACACACCTGGTTTTAGGGGGACTTGCACATAGAAGTCCATTTGTGAATCTTAAGGGCCCGCTCTCTCTCAGAGTCCGCCCCTCCCTCCGTAACCAGCCAGCTACAGTCTGTTGTGGCAGAATCCACTCAGAACACGCCTGTCCCAGACCTTGCCAGGGTGACCACCTCTGCAATCCACTTTTCTTGTCCTTTACACCAGCGCCGCTCTGAGTCAGACCCTCATTTGTCACGAGGACAACGGTGTTCACTTCCAAATCAATTTTCCAGGCACCTGTCTTGTTCCCTTTATTCATATTCTAGAGTGACTTAAAGATCCCCATCTCCGTGATCTGCCTGAGATGGTCTGGGAATTCACCATCCAGCCCCCTCCTCTGCAGCCTCCCCGGTCCCGTCAATGCCCTGCGGCCCGCCCACGCCATGCCTGGACTGGTTTCACTGGTGGAGGGTTCCTCCTTCCTCTCAGCCAGTTTCCTCCTTCCTTGAACTTGTGCACACACAGGCAGACACTTTCCAGAGTCAGTTTTCTGCCCCAAACACCTGAAATTCACATTTTGAATACTATCCCTTTGTTATTTATAGACTCGTTCTTTGGGCATCTGAGGAGAGAGTAGGGGGTTGAAGTTAGAGTTCATTTTGCATTTTTTTTTTTTTTCGAGACAGAGCCTCTCTGTGTAACAGCCCTGGCTGTCCTGGAGCTCACTCTGCAGACCAGGCTGGCCTCGAACTCAGAGACTGATCCACCTGTCTCTGCCTCCCCGAGTGCTAGGACTAAAGGTGTGTGCCACCATGTCTGGCTTTTTCCTTTTCCGTGTGTGTGTGTGTGTGTGTGTGTGTGTGTGTGTGTGTGTGTGTGTGTGTTTTTACTGTTTCATTGGCTGTAAACAACCCCAAACATGTACAATGTGATAGAGGAAAAGGGACTTGCTATCATCCCACCATCCAGAAATGTCTAGAATGATATTTGGCCGATGCTCTTCCAGTCCACAGTCTGCAACCAATGGATTTTGTGCTCATGAAATGTTTTTAAACCACTTTTTGAAATTTGCCATCAACTGCGAACTTTTTCTACTGGAACATATATACTATTTGTCCATATTAACTGATACACATGCTGCTAACAGTTTGTATTCTTATTTTTGTGATAGGGTTCTATCCCCATCCCACCCCCAATAGTTTAAACTGGGCTTTGCAGGGATGAAGCCAGGGCTGATTTGATTTCATAATGACCCTTGTTTGGGGACTGCTGAGTCCCTCCCAGAGAGGCACGGTGGGTGTCTTCATTAGGGACACTGGTGGGAGGCCCAGCCGCTAAACAACCTAAGCTCATTGTGGTTGGGCCCCAGTGACTTACAATGAGGTCAGGCTTGCCTCCCTTTCCCAGAAAAGCTTCCTGCATGCCATTTCTTGCATAATTGCCCAGAAAAGAGCTAGCCAGCCTTCCCTCCCACTGAGCCTGGAGGGTACTTACTGAACACTAGGCATACCAGCACAAAGCCCCACTGGGCTGGCTGTCAGTTTCTCCCAGGATGGGTAGTCCTGGACCACTTACTTCTCCATGCTGTGGTAGAGCATTCCCCGCTGGAAGTAGGCCACTGCCAAGTGCTTGTCTCTGTTGATGCTTTTGGTGAAGGCCTGCGGGAAGAAGGGTCCATACACGGCCTCAGAGCCAGGCAGAGAGGAAGTACAAGACCGCCCCAGGGAGAGGCAGGCAGGTGTGTCATAATGACTCAGTAACTCGAGGTGACAAAATGGCCTGGGGTACAGACGTCTTGGGTTGCAGTGCCCTGGGGTGTTATTTCCTCATTTCATAGCCTGGGGTAAATTACCTAATCTCCCTGAACCTCAATTTTTTTCTTCTGTAAAGTAAGTGATAGGGCTGGAGAGATATTTCAGCAGTTAAGAATGCTTGCTGCTCTTCCAGAGGACCCAGGTTCAATTCCCAGCACCCACATGTTAGCTCACAACCATCTGTAATTCTAGTTTTAGGGGTCTCCTTGAGAATCAGGTATACACATGATGTCAAAACATATATGCTATCAAAACACCCACTCACACTAAAAAATAATAATAAAAATAAATTGAAAGTGATATAATTAAAATGAATGTTGTAGTTCCTTGATGGAAATTTATTGTATAAGTATTTCTATCACTAAAATAGTAACAAGTAAGGATACATATATAACATTATTAATGAGGTATTAAACAGGAAAACAAGGGCAGAGGGGATGAGAGGACCAGCAATAGAATGGGAGGAAAAATCTTGACCAGTAAGGGCAGAAGAAGCCAGTGATCTGGGTGTGGGAGGTGGTCTGTGGCACAGCCTGGCCCAGAGTCCCAGGTCCAGGCCAAGGCATAAGCACCCAGGGCCTGCAGAAGAGCTTCATCCAGGTTCGCTGCCTCCTCTCTCCACCATGTGCTCTGTCCCCACAGCTCTCAGGATGCAGCCCGCCCCTGAGGGGTGGTGGAGGGGGCAATCATCCCTCCAGACAGAGGCTGGGCCAGCCCATGCACCATCCCACCTGCTGACTGAGAGCCCGGATGTGCGGATGTGGACGTGTGGACAGTGTTGGTTCACCTCCTGGTCAGGGGATGGCGGGTGAGAACGGCTTCTTTAGAAGGGGGGCAGGGAGGGGGTGCTGGAGAGATAACTCAATCTTGCCTCACAGCATGATGACCTGAGTGTGACCTCCAGGTCTGGGTTAAAAAGCCAGGTGTGAGGCCACATTTTTTTTCATCTCAATGCTGAGGAAGTGGAGACAGGATCTCCTGCCAGCCTAACAGGCAAGTTCTGTGTGAATAAGAGACCTTACCTCAAAACAAACAAACAAAATAAAACAAAACAAAACAAAAACAAAACAAACAAACAAACAAAAACCAACCACACACACACAAAAACAGAACTAGGGTAGACATGGTTTGAGATGGCTGTGCAATCCTGGGGACTGTGTTTGATCACTGGAACCAGGTAAAAATGGAAAGAGAGAAGAACTCCACACAGGTGTCCTTTGACCTTACCAGGTGCACCATGGCCTCTGTACCCACCTCCACCCCCATCACACACATACATACACAGTCAGTCAATCAGTCAAACAATCGATCAATCAGTCAATAAAGACGTGTCAAATGCCTTTAATCCCAGTGCTCAGGAGGCAGAGGCAGAGGCAGAGGCAGAGGCAGGCAAATCTGTGTGAGTTTGAGGCCAGCCTGGTCTACAGAGCCAGTTCCAGCCTGGGCTGTTACACAGAGAAACCTTGTATCAAAAATACAGGGAAAAAAAAATGCTAAAATGCCCCCTACCCTTGGTGGACTTTATGACTCAATACAGTGTGATTTCCTTCAGCCAGCCTCGGACTCCTTAGAGGAGCCCCCTGCATTGTTGACCAGAATTGATTGAGCCAAACTAATGGAAGTTCCTGGAAGCCCAAGAGGCACCTTACAATTGGGTGCAAGGTAGGCAGACATAGAAAGCACATGTCCGTGGGGAGTTGGTAAAAGAAAACATAACTGAAGAAGTCTTCACAAGATGTTAAAGAGTAACCTCGGGTAATGTGAAGTTCTTGGAAAAAGCAGAGCCCCACCCATGCGTGGCTCGGAGAACCTGTCCTGGGAGCTTTTTAAACTGTCTGCCAAGCCGGGAACACTTAGATGGGGCCTCTCGAGGTAGTTCTGAAGGGCTTTTGTTCTCTTTAGGCTTTGGGGAGGTGAGGTTTCCAGAGGGCAGAAAAGCTATATTTACAGGAACCCCTCAACTCACCTGCTCGGCTGCCGGCATGTTTTCCAGGATGGTATGCATGCAGCCTATGTTGAAGCAAATCCTGGAGTGGGGGTCCTGCACCTCGCTGAAGGCCTCCAGAGCACCCTTCCAGTCCTTCTTGTCGGCTGCCAGCACCCCTTCATTCCAGAGTCTGATGGCCTCAGCCAGGGACATGCTTAGTGTCTCTCCGGCCGGAGCTGCGGGGTCCCAGGCTTCAGGGTCCCAACCCAGTGATCAGAATGAGCTCTAGCCTCCCTCTGCGGGCCTTCATAGTGTCAGGAAGTTTCCCCACCTTTCAGGAACTGACGCATAAGCGAGCAAGAGAGAAAAAGGAAAGAGAGGAGAGGGCTGGGAAAGGGGAAGTCTATTAGATGCCTGCCTGCCATGGGCCAGTCAGTTCCTCTAAGTGCTTCTGCTACGTCCCGGGCACCTCCTGTTCGTCTCTGCCTCCCACGCCCTCTGTGGCAGCTTCAGGTCAGGGGGCCCTCAGCAAGCCTGGCCAGGCACACCTCTTTTCAACCTTGAATGAATGCCTTGCTCTGGTCCTCTGGGTCTCGGGCTGTTGACAAGCTATGGCTGCATCGATGGATATAACCTAGGCTGGCCTGAAATCCCAATCTTCTGGCCGAATTCTGGAGTTATAGGGGTGCAGCCACTACTGTTTTGTTTTTTGTTTTAAAATCTTGGGGGAAAAAAAATAAGCACAGTACACATTTCTGAGACAGGATGGAGCATCATGCGTGTCCATCCAGGTCTGAGATAACTTTAAGAGAACTCAAACCAGTTCAGTTTCTTGTAAATACTCAAACTGGGAGGCAGATATGACACTAAGTGTCACCTGTCTGTGAATAATTGAAGGCATGGCTCCTGTATTGATGACTAATGAGCCGCTCATCTGTAAATACAGATTTGAGATTCCTTTACTCACTGCCCTGGTAAAGTCAAAGTTAATACAAAAACACACAAACAATAACAACAACCAAGACAAAAAAAACTTTCCTGAGGAAAAGTGAGGTAGTGTGTCTAAACAATAAGATCTGCCAAAGTCCGGACCTCTTGGTAGGCAAAATACATGTTAATGAGGGTCAAATACACGGCTATTTCTAAGTCTTATTTTGTGGCACCTGAAAGAACTCAACACAGGGTTTGTATGATAAAGACAGGAGGGCTGAAGAAGAATGTGTCCCTGCAAAGACTTGTCCCTGTCTTTGGTAGACCTTCCTATCTCACTTCTTCGCCTGGTAATCTCCTCAGACTTCCAGGCTCATCCATCCAAGTCTCCTTCCTATGCCCCACCTCTGTGCCAGCCAGCTCCCCACTCTAAGTTACAGAGAGAATGTTTTCTCTTCGTCTTCTCTCCTCCTAAATACTGACTGTATTGTTGTGGAATATTTCTTTTTTTTTTTTTTGGTTTTTTTCGAGACAGGGTTTCTCTGTGTAGCTTTGCGCCTTTCCTGGAACTCGCTTTGTAGACCAGGCTGGCCTCGAACTCACAGAGATCCGCCTGGCTCTGCCTCCCGAGTGCTGGGATTAAAGGCGTGCGCCACCACCGCCCGGCTGTGGAATATTTCTTTACATTGTGTGAAGATGATATGTCACTGTGATTGGTTCAATAAAAAGCTAAATGGCTTTTTATTAGGGTTTTCATAGCTAGGCAGGAGTTTCAGGTCAGAGAGAATGCTGGGAAGAAGACAAAGGAGTTGCAGGGAGATGTGGAGGAAGCATGACATGTAGGAGATGGGGTAAAAGCCATGAGCCATGTGGCAGCACATAAATTAATCAAAATGGGTTAACTTATAAGAGCTAGTTAGAAACAAGCCTAAGCTATCAGCCAAGCTTTCATAATTAATAATAAGTCTCTGTGTGGTTATTTGGGAGCTGGCTGGTAGGACAGAGAAACACTCACTACATATGGTGCCCAATGCCTGGCCATCTATATTCACATAAGGCCTGAGACAGGAAAAAAAGTTCAAAACACCAAGTCAAACATGGCTTCCTGGTGCAGCGTCCTGGTGACCAACGTCTCTCAGGTAGGCTCAGTGTACAGAGACTGCCTGTGGGCTGGAGCCAGCTGCCAATGCCATGTGCCAGCACCACTAAGTTGAACTGTGTGTGCCAGCAGCTGACATAGCAGTTTAAGATTTGTCTCACGTGATCAGAGAATGCTACAGACTACAGATGCTCATTAAAGACAGATCCAGACCAAAAAAATAAAAAATAAAAATAAATAAAAATTTTAAAAAATTATCTAAACAGGTTACAAAAATATGTTTAAAAAATGTGTGTAGGCTTAAAAAAGAAAAGAAAATGGTTATAGATAGTCATAGGAAAAAGTTTATAAATAATAAAAACTTTAAAGAGAAAATAAAATGATATAAAAAGATAAGCCACATGAAGATGGAAAATACATAGAGTCTGGATCCTATGTGGTGTCTTTGTGACTTTAAATTTTTCCATTACTGCCGGGCGGTAGTGGCGCATGCCTTTAATCCCAGCACTCGGGAGGCAGAGCCAGGCAGATCTCTGTGAGTTCGAGGCCAGCCTGGGCTACCAAGTGAGTTCCAGGAAAGGCGCAAAGCTACACAGAGAAACCCTGTCTCGAAAAACCAAAAAAAAAAAAAAAATTTTTTTCCATTACTGAATGACAAGCAATAGCTGCTAGAAACATTGGATTATGGAAACTGCTAAATTAGGCCAACCAATATATTTTTAAAATGTCTTAACTTCAAAATGGAAGTCAAAAAATATGTTGCTTTGGGGAAGAGGTTATGCTTTTGTTTCCACAGAAAACAAAAGACTGTGGATTTATTCAAGGTTGACAGAAATCAGATTTGTTTGGGGGAGACCCCCTGAACATCCTGGCTACAGACATAAATAAACCTAGAAAAATTGTAAAACAGGTAATGTATATTTTACCTGCTCAAACATAAAACAAAAAATCATCTTTGGCTGGCTTATGTACAGTCCATACTTGTGTTAATGCAGATATATATATATAATCTTTGAATGTTTATGTGTTTTCAGAACAAGGGGACCAGACACCAATGAAAATGGGTGGCCCAGGTGATCCAGTCTCTCAAAATGCCTCTGTTGCAGTTTCCTCAGAGTTCTGCATCCAGAACAGCTTCAAAGATGCTGGCTGAGATGGTCCAGCCTCACAGACTGTTCTAGCCAGGACTTGACCATTATCCTAATTTTCTCAGGGTCCCTCAAAGGTTCCAGCACCTCCAGACAACAGAAAGCAGTCTAGAGAACACAATGCCCACATTCCCAAGAGGTAGGGTGGGTAGTTTTTGGTCATTCTGTGGGTTATGCATGGTTGTCATTGTTTAGGGGGGTAGTGGTTACAAATTGTTATTGGTCATGGTCAGAAAAAAAACTGAACAAAGATTAGATTCAAGGATCTCTTTCTGAAGAGAAAAAGGGGTGATATTATATAGAAATGATAGGATAAGGGGATAGATTATTGTATCTACTTTAAAACTAAAAAAAAACAACTATTGATCTCTAATATTTTACTTTGGTATGGATTTTTGTATATAGATACAAATTTAAGTTTATTTTTGCTACAACGTACTCTATATAGGTTTCCACTCATTTAAGATATTTTTGTATATTGATACAAATTTAAGGTTATTTTTGTTATACTGTATATGTTTCTACTCTTGTTTAAGGTATTTTTCTATATTGATACAAATTTAGGTTATTTTTTGTTATACTGTATATATGTTTCTACTCTTGTTTAAGATATTGTACCTATGCAGCCCATTTAACAATGTAATATAAATTTCTATTCCTTGAAAATTATTATTGCAAACTGTTTAGAATAATTAAGAAATATAGGTTAGTAGTTAGTCAGCTAACAATCAAAATTGTGGCCACGTTAGGTATGTTTTCAAGGTCAAATAGAGATATATTTTAGATCGATGATCTTCATACACTTCAAAGACTTACAGAATATGACCTTTAAGATGTTTTAATGACATAAGGCTTTTCATGACAGTGAGACACATCTGTTTCTGACAGCACCAATCTACTTCAGAGAAGATGATGGGCATCAAAGAACCTCCAAATGAAGTTTGCTTTCTTTGTGGTAAAAGCTAGCCACTGGGAAAAGAAACTGCCCTTGCCTCAACTGCTGACAGCATGCTGTCCAAACTGGACAAGCAGGACACAAAAGAAAGTGCCTGCCAAACTTTACTAGACAGGGTAGGACAATCTTTTTACCCAGACCTCAAACCTGCGGGCAGAAGTTGGGAGTGGGGATAACACACCCTCCTGTCCTTAGGGTATAAGCAACGGGGTTGGGCTCAGTGTTGTTCGCTTTCTCCAATCCCTGTCACCACACAGGCTAAGCCATCATCAGCTGCAAGTTAGCATAGTCTCCTGACAATTTCTGACCGAAACCTACTCCCTTATCTATGCAGCTTTCAGACTGTTTCTAAAATCCACCTATCTTAGTTATGGTTTCTATTGCTGTAAAGAGAAACTATGACCACAGCAACTCTTATACAGGGAAACCTTTAATTGGGGCTGGCTTACAGTTCAGAGATTTAGTCCGTTGTCGTCATGTCAGGAAGCATGGTGGTGTGCAGGCAGACATGTTGCTGGAGAAGTAACTGAGAATTCTACATCCGGATCTGAAGGCAGCAGAAAGAGAGAGACACTGGGCCTGGCTTGAGCATCTGAAACCTCAAAGCCCAGTGACACACCTACTCCAACAAGGCCACACCTCCTTGCCACTCTGCTGCAAGCCACAGGAAAACGTAATGGAATTCAGCTACTATCACAAAAGTTACTACTTGGAAAGGTCAAGGACTTCTCCAAAGGTCAAGCCATGGCTTAAGAAGTCTTGGTGATATTTTAGCTTTTGTATGTATATTAGCTGGTTCCTACAGTGGTTTTCTTGTAATGCTATGCATGTTTCCAAGAACGCCTAACAGTGTATTTATCTAAAATATCTATCAGCCATCCAAGGCCAAATGAAACAACACCTGTCTCTTAGGTCAGGCAGGTAGCTTTATTTCTTGTGCAACTTAGGGTGAGACCCTCTTTCCTTACAGCCTTACTAACAGACCCCTAACTTCTTACCTCACCACTTCTCGGAATGTAGACTGAGCACATAGATCCCCTTCTTGATATACTAACCCATTGATCTCTAGCTCTCTGTTGACCTCCTCCTTTACCACTCCCCTTTTGGGTTGTAAAAGAAAGCCTGGTGGTCACTGCCTGAGGAATTCTTATCTGCCTTTATGACCCCATAAGAATTCAAGTCTGGTGACCATGCTCTGCCAGAGGATCGCTATTGCTTGGGTTTATAACTGGATTCCTGAGAGACTTAGAGAGAACTGAGAGAATAAAGAGATGGAGAGGAGGAGAGAGAGAGGAAAAAAGAGAACGGAAGAACTAGATGGGTAAGAACTGGAGAGAAATGAACTAAGATGGGGAAGAACTAGATTGAAGGACTGAAAGAGAGGACTAGAGGAATGAGATGGAAGATGCGGAAGAGCCAGATGGGGAAGAACAAGTTGAGGAAGAGCCAGATGAGAGAGAAGGAGATGGGAGAGGAGCTAAGATGGAAAGAAACTAGATGGATGAGAACCTAGATGGAGCAGAACCAAGATGAAGGAATTAAGATAGAACTTAGAGGGGACAGCAGATAAACGTAGAGAGAAATCAGGCAAGAACGGGGCTAAAAATGGGAGCAGAATAGAAGCTGTGTAGAGAGAGAACTGACTCAGAAGAATAAAGTGTATGGACTAAGGAGTTTCATGTACACAGATTCATTTCATATCATCAAAGATTAGATTATCAGCTGGTTATAGATTCTTCCCGGACCCTGGGAGGGGACTATCGAGGGGCTGGACCTCTGTAGTTCTCGTTACCACTCCTGAAGAGGGAGTGGGGGGGGGGTATTTTCATTCAAACCCCTACACCACCTTAAACAGGTCATACCACATTTGTAAAACACTTTCCAGACTCCTTGTTGGGCAGGCAGGCAGGCCCTGCCTGTTGTCCTGCACTCCCCCCAAGATCCCCATCCCTCCCTGTGTCCCAGCTGCAAGGGCGACTCCCTCTGCTCCAGTGTCTCCGCCCTGTTCTGCCCCTGCTTCTTACTCAGCTTCCACTTCCCCCAGTTGGCCTCTGTGGCCCCTGACTGTGATCGCCCGCTCTGTCACCTGTGGGTCACAGTTCGTAATTATTGTCCCCTGGGCAGACACGGTTTGTTTAGTCTCTGCTTCTCACTGTTAGCCAATGGACTTTCAGCCATCCTTCCTTCCCAAGCATCCCTCTGTCAGAACCCAAGTTCTGTTCCAGTACCCAGCTCATGAGTCAATGTGAGGTTTAAGCCAGATTTCCCACACTGCCCCAGGGAGAGTGTTCTGGTGGGTTCAGGCACAAATGCTGAGTTTTATTTTTTTTATTTTTATTTATTTATTTTTTTTAGAAACAAAGTTCTGCTCCACAGCTCTGGCTAGGCTGGGGTTTGCAATGATCCTCCTGCCGCTGCTTCCCAAGTGCCGGGATTACAGGTCTAAGCTACCATACCTGAACTTTAACATTTACTTATTTATTCTGTGTATGTGTGTATGTGTAAACATCCATGTGCCACTGCCACTGTGGCGGTTCAGGTACAGCTACACGAGATATTGTTTAATCTGATGCTGGTCTCCCACCTAAACTGTATGCTTCAGGAGTACAGGATCCATGTCTGGCTTCATCTGGCTTTCCACCGTCTCTTCCGTACCTACCATTTGTTTGATTATTAAATTTTGCATTATATACTGATGCTGTGCATGGTGCCTTTTGAAGGGCTCTACCAGGCCTGAGTATGGCAAACATTCACACAGGTTTTGCCCTTTTCCCCTTTTCCTCTCCCTTGCTCAAAACCGTTACATTCCTGAAGCTAGTCCCCCAGCTCCACTCCCTTATTTGGCCATGAACTCATTTCTGAGACAAAACACCAAGGTCCAACAATAAAATTTCATTATTTGGCTAACATGTCCAGTCAGGACTTATCAACCCACCCTAGCACAGACTCCCCTTTTTTCTCCTTAAAAACCCTCCCGCAGGAACACCGGCCCTGTTTGCCCCTTCCATTTACTTTTCCTGCAAGAAACCTTCTGGCTGCTGCTACTGCTGGCTGGCTGTCTTTGTAGCCCCTCCCCCGCCCCGCCCCCCGGCCCTGGCCCCGCGGCCGACTTGCCCCTCCTAAGAATTTGGTGTCAGCGCATGCTCTGTACTGACTCAGGGACAGGGAAGGACTGGCGCCCCAGAGCTTACTAAACACAGCCCAGGTCAAAACATATTCTCTTTCTTTTTTTCATTTTCAATTTTATTTTGTTTGTCTGTATGAGTAGATGTGAGTGCATCATTTATGTGCAGAAGCCTGCAGAGGTCAGTGAGGTGCTAGATCCCTGGGAACTGGGTGTGTTGTGAGCCACCACGTGGGTGCTGGGAACTGAACCAGGGTCCTCTGCAGGAACATAGCATTCTTTACCACAGAGCCGTCTGCCCAGTCCCTCTCTTCCTTTTTTGATAGGACATTTGTGGGAGGTAATTCAGGAAAGTGTGTAATTATGCTAAGATAATTGGTGTAGATACCCCTTTCTGAAGCCTGGAGCGAGGACACTGTCATGTGCACCAGAAGTCATGTGATGACTAGGGACTCCCAGGACCTTCGGGTTGAAATTTAGTAGGAAGAAAAGAAGATGTCCTCCCAAGCTTTAGCCCTCACAGGCCCAAACCCAGGGCGCAGAACAATGCGCTGGAAGAAGCTCTACCATGTGAGCCACTGCAAGCCTGTCTGAACATGGAAATCATTCGGCTGCACAGAGAGGGCAGCCTCGGGCTGTGTCAACAGCAACACAACCAAGTTTCGGGCTCCGCGCTGCTGACTCAGCCACCCACGCAGAGGTCTGGAGGTCTCTCTGGACCAGCTCGGGAGACTGGCACTACACCCAACTCTCACACCTTCTTCTCTGGACCAGCTCGGGAGACTGGCACTACACCCGACTCTCACATCTTCTTCCGACAGCAGCTGCTCTGCTCTGTCATCCTGGGCTCCCAGCCGCACCCTTTCCCTGGATCCCGAGCTCAGTCTACTGCCTTCAAAGCTCCTGCCTCCTCCTCTCACAGTTCAGTTGGCAAAGCGGACATAGACGTATCCTTCACAAAGACTCTCACCCTTCTCAGTGAGGCGTAGCTGCTTCTCTGGGAGGTCATCCGTAAGTGACCTGCAGGGTCGCTTCCATAACAAAGGCCCTCCCATTTCCTTTCCAGCGTCGGTATTGAATCTCTTATCTTGTCTGAGGTCACTTGGCAGAGTCGAAGGGTGCACACAAAGGCCATCACCCCATTCCTGAGACCACCAGAGCAACATGTCTGCCAGTAGGGATGTAAACTACAATCAGTTTACAAGCTGATTTTAGTATGTGGATAAATATTTTTCCTTATACTGGTAGTATGATTTTAATTCATTTAATCTTGGACAAAGTATATATTTACATAGCTCAAAAATTCAGTATGGAAGAATGTTCTGTCCTCACTGCCAAATGTTTCCGGAACATGGGGAGTCATTTTGTTAACTCACTGGCATTCTTCCAGAGGACAGGTGGAGTTCGCCATCCCCTCCTCTTTTACACACAAGATTTAAACACCTTCTGCACCTTGTTCTTTTCCTTCAACGCTACTGCCGCAGCCGAAGAGTTTCCTCATTCCTTGTTTATGGCTGTGCTACTTTCCACTGGACGACCAGTCCCATCCAAGGACGACAGTCGGGTTGTCTTTAATTGCACACTACCATATTAACTTTGCAACAAACATATATATATATATATCATTCACCCATCTGTACACATCATTATAGGATGAATTCACAGAAACTGAATATCTGGGTCCACGAGTTTATTTTAATGTATATCAGGGGAAAAATGTAACTTCCCTAAATTGTTTACGACCATGGTGTTGTATCATAGCAATAGAAACCTAACTAAGACATTAAGCAAAAAGCAGCTTTGGAGGTCTGAGAATTTGGCTAAAATTAAAAAGTAGTATATGAAAACCAAAAGCAGTATATGAAGATGTCTCTAAGCCACATTTTCCTACAGTGCATGAGTAAAGAGAGAGCTTCAGGTCCAGAGGCCTGGTCAGGGACTGGGGCTTTTCCCCCAAATGCCTGTGGAGCTTACACTTCATTGCAGCCTTGCTTTTCAGGGTGGCAATGCTCAAATGTGGGGAGCATGCTGTGTGCTTGATAGACTGTAGCTCCTGTGGTTTAGGTGTTCTCAGTAAACTGGGGAGGAGAGAGAAGTCAGAATCTGTTTGCCTTTCCCTCACAACACAGTCATAATGGCGTCTGGAAGGTGAACCAGACGGACACATAATGTGGTAGGGCAAGACAATGTAAACGTTCCTCGACCTTGTATTCTTGCTGAGGCCATTTCAGGTTTAATTAAAATTGGATTTCCTTGATGGGGAATCCTGTGGAAAACTACCCAACTCTATTCTAGGAAGCAAAGGTCAGGATGTCCTAGCTAACTTCTCTCAGGGTCTGTCAAACTGCCTGTGTGTGCGGCATCCCCCTCCAGCCAACTGCTTGTCTCAGCTTCTGTTAAAACTGCTTGCTTCGGGGTTGGGGGGGGGGACTGCTTGCTTCAAATAGCTGACTTTGCAAAGCCCCCCTGCAGCTACCGAGTGAGATGCCAAGATGTGGTTTCTGCCTTTAAAAACTCTGTGTTCTGGACACTCAGGGCCACACCCAGGTCCCTGAACACTTGGGTGTGGTCCCAGCCAGCTGCAATAAAGACTTTCAATTGGCTATAAACTGTGTTTGAGTGGTCACCCTTGTTGGGCTCCCTGTAACACATAATAGGTGTGTGGCCTGTGCAGTCACACCGAGCCACCCGCTTAGGAGGTCCCAGCCTTCCTCTGAGGCCGCCATCTTGCCATTATTGATTCTGAACAAGGGGCTGTGTTTTGAATCTGCAGGAGGCTGTTCCCGCCACCTCTCCTCACAGACCATCTCCTACAGCTCCTAAAGGCCGCCGAGTGGAATGCTGCCCAACAGACCACCCACCCAATGAGGCTGCACTTTGGTCCCTTCTGCTTGATCCCAAGGCTGACACCATCTAGCCTACCAGAGCTTCCCCAGAGGACACTCCAGTCACCCTGCGTACAGAGGCCAGTTTTCCAGTGTCCTGCGTTTTTCAGGGAACCTTAATTGGCCAGATCCTGGGGCTGGAGACCCCTGAACTCTGTAGAGGCCTTCACTACCGGTGGCTCTCTGGCCCGGTTTAACCCAAGAGAGCATTGCACTGGGGGCCAGAGATCCTGGATTCGACTCCTGAGTTTGTCTTGTGCCACCTAAGGGAGCTTTCACAGATCCTTCTGTTCCTGGGTCTCCATCTCACCATCTGCTAAATGGTTCTAGGAAGAATTTCTAACCTGCTGCTCCCTTGCCAGCCTGAAATAATTACCCCTATGACAGGAAAATGAACAAGCGACCCTTGCTCCATGCACGCGGTTGCTCTGGGTGACATTCCTTCCCTCCTACCCCGTGCTGGTTTGAGCAAAGGGCTCACAGTGTGCTGGCCACCACCCCCTCAGCTGGCCCCGGGGACTCTCAATTGCACCTCTGTCCAAACTACAAGCCCCTTTCTCTGCCGGACGCTGGGTCTGGGCAATCAGCTGTGGAACCATTTCCTCTTTGGAGTTCTTAAAAAACAAACACTTAGCAAAAAGGTTACCCTGCAGCACAATTAAAGCCGTGAAAAGATGCTGTTCCGTCCAGGGTCCTTATGTGCTGTCCCCTTTTAAACACAAGACTCTGGAATTCTTGCTCTGGGATCAATTATTCCTAGTCCCTTCTTCTCTTGGGATTGTTTACACGCAGTAGGAAGGGGAAGCATGGTTCTCCCCGCGCAGTTCTTCCGTCCTCTCTCCTGATCTCCCTTCCCATCCACATTCACTGGGATGTAAAATCCTGGAAGGAAAATGAGGGGCATGAAATATACACTAATTTTTTTTTACATGTATTTGTTTGGTGTGAAGGTAGGGGAGGCACATGTAGAAGTCAGAGGACAGTGTGTGGGAACCAGTGGGTTCTGGGAGTTAAATTTAGATCATCAAGCTTGGTAGCTCCTCTCCCTGCTTTGTGCCAGCCTGGAATGAAGTATTTTAAGTCTGGTCTCTAACAGAGCAAAGACGAATGTAAAGAAGACATTGTAGGGGGCCGGAGAGTCGGCTCAGCTGTTTAGAGCACTTGCTCTTGCAGAGGACCTGGGTTCAGTTCCCAGCACTCACACGGTGATTCACAATCATCTATAACCCCAGTTCCAGGAACTCCAATCCTTTCTTCTTACCTTCTCAGGCTATGTATGTGGTGCCCATATGTACATGCAGGTAAAATACTCATACATATAAAATAATATAAATAAATCTTAAAAAGGGAGCTGTTGCAGTGTCTCAGGTAAGGATAAGGATGCTGAAATAGTGCAAGAAGAGAAACTGGGTGTGGATAAGCATCAACAGAGGGAGTGTCGACCCCCAGCTGCCCCAGTAAGTGTAGTGGTGATCTCATCTACCCTTGCATTCACACATGCTAAAGCCACATTTCTGGCTATACTGTCTTTCCAGAGCATAGCTGCCATGACCTTTATTATTACTACTACTATTGTTATTATTATTATCTATTATGATGATGATGATGATGATGATGTGTATTGGTATTTTGTCTGTGAGAAAATGTCATGGGGCCTGAGAAGAGCGAGGGCAAGCAACACCATCATC